TAAAGCGAATTGACGTACGCCAAATAGTCATTTGCTTTCTTATCTTCAAGTTCTTATTTTAGATAGGGAATTACCTAGCATTGGCCATTTAAAGGAATTCCTAGGTAAAACTCATCGTATTCAAATAATAACAAAAATGTGTGATCGATGTTTTTAATATATGTGTGTAATAGAGTGTTCCGGATTTGGAGAAGAGTTGGATAATTTCTTTTTAATATAATGTAGCGAATGATACTGAGGTTAATATTTTGGAATAATCAAAAGGATACATGGGATTTTTTTGTAAACAAAATACTAAAGTTCATCCTTTCATAGGTAAGGTTAGGTTAGGTTTACACCTAAATTAAAAAGTTGAGCGTTCTTTACATGTATTATAGGTCTGTCAGTCGCACTTCTGGCGAGTATATTTCCTATCTCGTTTCCTATTATTCTTATGTGACTCGGTATGAGACCATGCCACCACATTTTAAAATTCTCAAAATATCAAATTATAATTAATTCAATTGGAAAATATGCACAAGTATTACATATTTCCTGTTAGGGGCTATCCGAAACCTGCAGTTTTAAGGATGTCAAACGTTTGGCATGTTTACATTTCCCATTTCCAAGACATTTAAAAAAGCGGATTAAGATTAAGATCGAAATCCTTGCATTTGAGGTATATGATGTCTTTGGCAATGTTACAGATATTAATGTGAGGAATATTTTGTCTAATACGTTAACACTCAATAGATTCTCTCGAGGGGTCATTTCGGTTCCCCTTTCCAGGAATTATTGAAAACTCATTTAAAACGGGGTTATAACAGGCCAGAACATAAAACTCGAAAATCAGCCTAAACCTCAAAATTTTTAAAAATATGAAAACTCATTTTAGGGTTAAAAGTGATTTTATTCCTAGTTTGTACAAATTTTTCCTGAGAAGAGAAATCGATATATATATATATATATATATATATATATATATTTTTTTCACTAAGTCTTTGCAAATATAAATATAAATACAAACAAATATTTTTTTTAGTTTAGATTTCTTACCCATTTGTGAATATACCTTGATGACTCACATAACCGGGTAATTAAAAATATTATCAATATCGACATTTTGTTTTTAATTTACATTGAACCATTTGTAAATATGTACTATGTAATAACGATTCATGTGATCCCTGATCGGTCTCCGCTGATAGTTGAAATTGATGAAATATGCAATGTTTGTCATAAATCGAACACTATAAAAATATAGAATTAATGTCTTTCATTAATTGTATTTCTGATTGTCTACAGCTGATAAGGATTTTGTTTTGTTATTTTTTGTTCATGGCAAAAGGAAAGTAGCAATTCAATTTATCAAAGTTGCGTACTGGAAGAATTTAATGAGAAGAAAAAAAAAATAGTAAACAATTAAAATAACTGCAAATTAAAAAACAAAAAAATAAAATAAAAAATAATATTTGGAAATTTCTAGTTTTTTTTATAAATAGTATGATAAGGAAGATTGAAACAACTGAAGATAATAAAAAATAAATCAATTACTTTGAATTTGTTATTTATTCGTCTATGTAGATATGGTATCGACTGTTATTAGAGACGTTTCTTAGTTTTGGTTGTGTAATTTGGTCACTTATAGACCAATTGCGAAAAAATTGACTTGTTTATTTTTTAAGTCCATTTTAGGTTCTGATACCAGAAAAGTTTACAAAACATATTAATTTATATATTCTATCTGTTTAAGGGCACAAAACCACCAAAAAAAATAAATACCACTTTACAATATTTTTGAAACAAATCAAACCGAAACCATTAAATATTTAAAATAAATTCCTCAAATAATAATTTTTTTTATTAAATCGAACCTAGAAGTGGGGAACACAGAGTCAAATCGATAAAATAATGTTTAAGGAATGAGTGACCTTTAGACATTACATTATCATATTTTCCATCACCAAATATTTTTCATTTTATCAATTAACTTAGAAACCCATCGAATTTTACATTGGCAACTCCCGTAAGGAGGAAATATATTGATCAAAGTAAGGGTCGCCATATACCGCGTATTTATTGAAATTAGAATAGAGTTCGCAAAATTTGAGATCCTTAAATGTTATCAAAGAAATTCATTTAGGTATACAGAATATATCAAAATCCATTAGAAATATATCGACATCAATGGATTTTTACTTATCCTGCCTGATTTCATATATGGAAAATCATATCCACAATTTCCGCATTGCCATTTATTACCAATTATATATTTAATATTGTTTATATATAAATAATTTTAATCATATGCCCAAAACTATGCTTTAAATTAAAAAGAAAACCGTATTTTTATTTTTTAAAAAAGTGGCTGCTGTCCTCATATGATTAGTTGTTTCTTCTTGATTAATTTTAATATTAATAAATTATAACAAACAAGTTAATACGATGTTAAGTTCGGCCCGGCCGATTTTTTTATACCCTCCTGCATGAGGATGACATTCAAATGCGTAAAATTAATGGGAGAAAACTCATGCTATAACAGGACCTTGCATATACCGAAAAAGTGGTGAGAAAAAAATTATTGCCTTATTGAGGGGCTAGCGTTTATGGAGCTATACCAAAATGGGGATCAATATTGATAAATTTGGTTAGTAAAATTTGACAGCCAATGAGAATACAAATTATAATCAATTCAGTTTAAAAACGTGTCCAAATTCCTAAAATACCGACATGTAGACTACCGTTATATGAGGGCTGCCCGGAAACTTGGTTCGATATCAATTATTTCTGGTACGAACATGTGTTTCACATTGAGAACCCAATATCTGTGTAAAATTTCAGAGCTCTGTCTTAGATATTGCGATTCCGTGATTTCAATAGACGGACAAGAGGAATGACAAAATTGGGGTCTTCGGTGAATATTTCGAGGTGTTGCAAACAGGAAGACAAATTTTATTAAACTCCATCCTATTATGGATGGGATAAAAATGCATATTTGGAATATTATAAAGTAGATGCATATTCTTGCTTTTTAGAAAGTTCAAACCTCTCGCGTTCAAAACAGCAGAAAACAACACAATTACATCACCTATATAATGAACCCTGGAAACCCGCATTTTCGTGGAACCACACAAGTCTACACACGATACTAGTCTAAAATATGACATTGAAATTTCGCGCCAAAATATATTATATTAGATTGATTCCGACTACTCATGTTCTGAGGTGTATGACAGAAATTTTCTTTATTTTGTTGTAGTCCATTAGAAGAGTATCGAACTCTCTATAGTTCGTGTGCCTTTATGCATAATTGTGATGGACAGAAACGCCGGTTTATTGAAATAAATCATTCTTCGTCGTTTGAATCAGAATTGTAATGACATTTTTAAGAGCCTATACCTTATTCCCCAATCCTTGTTCACTGGCTCATGAAAGCTTGACACTACTATTGAGGATAAAAAATTACGAGAATTAAATGAGGTTGAGGTTCATAAAAAAATTATTTTCAAATGGATAGAACGTATAGAACGACCAGCAACTATTGGAAACAAGTATTTCAATTTTCATTTTCATTATAAAGAAATACAAAATCATCAATTTAAAATTGTAAAATAGCTACTTTGCTAGAATTATAATCAAACCGAATTACTTACCGTCCAATTCGACAATAACCAAGGAAAAACTTAGTATTGCGCAAATGATAATTAACAGTAAATTATTACCTTAAGACAAATAACAGCTTGCCACAAAGTTAAGTTACAAATTGTTGAAATATTATTTCCATTATACAAAATGTAAAAAAAACACACGAACAAGGACTTGCTTCAGCTATGAAATAATGAACTCCACCAATGTAAAAGTTTACTCATTAAACTTTGCACGGGTCTGTCCGCCCATATGACTCCATAATGTTTTTATTCGGCTTTCATACGAGGCCGACTATGGTGATGGTAAAAAAGGAAGCAGGCAGTGCCTGTTAACCTTCAATTATAATTAAGGGAAGCAGACACGAAATACTTACCAAACCCCTCGCCAACTCACAAAACGAAAAAAAAATAAAAACAAAAAAAATCCTGGAATTGTATAACTAAACATGAGGGCGTTTTTGAAAAATTAGGTTATGTCGTGTTCATTAGTCTTCTATATTTGTTGTTGTAGTTTTTCGTTTATGTTGTTCAAATGCCTACAGGCAGTGAATACACCTCTGCTCACAGCCACAACAATTAATGAGACCATTGCGTATTTTACTCTACATATTTACAAACAATTTCGGGGAAATGTAAATAGAAATTACATTTCCTACCATTGGTTTTTGTGTTATTTTCAAACTAATTGTATTATTTGGTTATTGGGTTTTGTGTTTGCATTAAATAATGTGTTCAAAAGTGGGAACCAGAAATGTGGCCCATAAAAAATTCGTAATTGAAATTGTTTATGTGAAATTAATATTTTAAATATTTTGAGGGTGAGACTTTGTAATGGGATTTACTAACATCTTTAGACTATTCACCTATGTTTATAGAATGGGAGATCAGCATTTATTCAAGGATATTAAATTCATTACCTCAAGTAGTAAGTATATTTCCTCAAGTAGAATACATACAGTCCTTAAGAAGAATAATTACATTTTTATTTTTATATTATGCAAATATCACTATACTAAGTTATTACAAAATTAAATATCAACAGGTAATTTAAAACATAAATGAATATATGATAAAAAATAATTTTCACAGTTGCTTGGCTTTATAACAATATTCGATTCGAAAAATATATGTATGTAGGATAAATAGGATTTTATATTTTTGTATTTGTAAAGCTATATGGGGGAATTTGTAAAATATTTTAATATTTAATAAAAAATATGTATTGCATATATATACAATGCCTATGGCAAATACATTCAAATGTGAATGTTTTTCTTTTGGTCCTTGTCAATTCTCAATTTCTAAAAATAAACGTTTTTTTGTGGCAACAATAACAATTCTATGGCTATGTCTATGGTATTACTCGACCTCTCCCTCTCTCTATATGTGGTCTAATACAATAGAGACTTATCCTCATACATGCTATCCCAGATTTTCAATTTTTCACCTTCAGGCAAATCAATCACTTCCAGCTCATCGGAAATATTCAAACATTTGAATGTTATGTTGTTGTCACCATCATTGGCGTTACACGACTCTGTTATGGTTGGCCAGTGGGTTAGATGTGTGTGTGCCAGGCCCGTGTGTTGCTGCTGCTGATGCTGTTCAGACCTTTGGATCTCAAGAACATTTGTACTGTCCTCATTATTGACACACCGTGTACCCTCATTCTCGTCAATGGTCTTTGTGTTGACGACATCACTGGGATGTGGCTCATGTCGCTGGCTGCTGTCACTCTCGCTGGATACACCGTTTGTGGGACTGGCACTACCACTGTCACTGGCCACGTCATCGTTTAGTGTGGTCCAGTTGATGGCCGTTTCCGTCAGCGGTATATTGGGGTCACCGCATTCGGCAAATTTCGCCAATATTGCCACCATTCGTCGTATGGTGGTGTATTCGGCGGTGCGACATTTGAGTTTTTTGGCGCCCGCATTGTAGAAGAGATACGATAAATCATCAGCATGGCAGGTGCCACGTACTTTACGGCCACACGTGATGATGCGCATGAAATTGAAATGTTTCGAGTCGAAATCGAAACGATACAGATAGGTGGGAGCCGTGGCATATTGTCGACGTGCCAGCAGGGTACGATGTATGCCGTGCCAGAAATATTTATAGGAGAAGAGCTGTTCAAAGGAGAAGAAACAAAAGTTAACAATGCAGGAAAAACAAATGTTATTATGAAACTAGTAACAAAGTCGGACAGGGCCGACTATATCACACTCTCCACCGCTTTCGGGATTTGTGTTATAAAACATCTTAACTCATAGAGTAGTGCAACATATATTTGAACTGAACATAAAATTAAAATACCTATGTAAACAATGTAATAACAGACTTCATGTAAATCGAACATACTTTCGAAGCATTGGTAAAACGGACACCACCGATTATTTAAAAATATAATTTCTGAAGAACTTGGGGTTTTAAATAAAAAGGTCATTAGAAAGGAATAGAATACTTTTCAACCTAAAACGAACATGGGTTTTAAAGGATGTGTTTAAGGGCTATAAGCTGAGACAGCTATAAGCTTTTGGGGTCTATACGCTGAGTTTTTTTTAATAAATGTTTTTCAAGGACCACCAGAACGTGTATTATTGAGACAATCCCAAAGGACTTTCGGAGCTGTTAGCTTAGATTCTTTCTGACATTTTAGGCTTAAGATAATGGAATCGGTTAGTTATGACGGACGTTATGTTCATCGTTTTTTACAAACAAACGTGGACCGACATCTGAATATCTACTTAAAATTGTATTCTAATTAAATTATCAAAAATCATCAAACGTTCCTCTTGCATGTTAAATACAAATTTCCAAACACATAATACCCCATACTCTGTAGTGTAGGGTATAAAACATAGTCTACTCACATCACTGTACTGCAAAATGGTATCCCACGATGGTTCCTTATCACCAAAATACAACTGCTTTAGCATGCGACCATATTCCAAACGTTTCTCCGGACTTAAATTGGCATCGAGCGGTGGCAGACACTCACCATCGCCTAAATTGTTTAGTAATTCCGGATACTTTCTGGCTTCGGGAAACATTAACAATCCCTCAAATGAATTACCGCCAATCAGCAAGGGAATGCTATTGCCCCAATTATTCCTTAACATTTCCAATGGCTCCATGGGTATAACTGTGTGTTCGGTTTTGTATGGCTCCACACAGGGACCAAAACCGAAATTCAAACGTCTGTGTAAACGCTCCTCCATGGTCAGTAATCGATCGCAGACCTTCAGCATTGTCCTTGGCTTTACATGTTGCAAATGGGCCAGTACAGCTTTGTCATTATTTTCACCCTTGTAACCGGTAGCTTTGGCCAGGCGGTATGCCCAATCCAAATGGGGTATGTTTGCCCATGGTGACATGGCACTGCCTGACATTACCACAGCCTTGTGAAATAGTCCTTTGGTCTGTTCAGTCAACATTAGATAATGAGCTGATGCACCACCAGCACTTTCGCCGAAAATGGTGATATTATTAGGATCGCCACCAAAAAATTGGCAATTATTCTTAACCCATTTAAGGGCCAGGATTTGATCTTTAAGACCAGCATTGCCAGGTACATCGCAGTTTTCATCATTTAAACAAAGGAAACCTAAAAATGTGGAAGGAAAACGAGAAATAAAAAATTAAAAATTCTTAAAATCTTGAAAAATCCCTGAAGTATTTAATGCCATATTAAACATCACATCCATGGTATTACTAATTGAAATTGTCTTAAATCAAATCATTGGTTAATATATTTGTTATTGTTTATATTTATATTTACTCGTCTTTCTTTTCTCCCAATTTATATTTATTTCAACATTTGAGTTATCATGCTTACTATTCGCATTATAAAAATGACCTTAGAGATAGCAAAACGTAAGCATTGATTTTCAATAGAAAATATCATTTAACACCTAGCCATTGCAATTTATAAACCAAACAATATTATTTTTATTATATCTTTTGGATAGTCTAATAAAACAACTGCCAAAACACATTCGTTGTATATAAATAACAAGCCAGACAAAAACAGCACCAACATAAAATAAACATTCTATAATACACTCACTCACCCAATGGTCCCAAACGATAAGCAATCGTGACCAGTACAACATTCTCCATCATTAGATAGTCCGGACTGTAGAGATCTCTGGATGCTTCACCCATTTGAAAGCCACCGCCATATATCCAAACCATTACTGGCATCGGTTTTGTTGGATTTAACTGCATTTTTTAGTGTATATAATCAGAAAGCGAAAAACAAAAATACAAATAAACAATTGCAAAAATAAAAAAAAAATATTTATTCTCTTGGTCCTCCCCCAGCTAACAGAAAACTTCAAACATTTGGCGCAACTCACCTGTTTTGTGTACACATTCAAATACAAACAATCTTCTTGACCTTGACATTGCTTAATGATGATGTTGTATTGGCACGGTTTGGAACGCACGTGAGTGCAACGTTTAACACCCGACCAGGGTTCCGGTTCGACAGGTGCCTTGAAACGTAACTCTCCCACGGGCGGCTTGGCAAATGGAATACCCTCGAAGCTGATGTATTCACTGCCACCATAGATGGAGCGCCATTTGACGCCTTTCACTTTGCCAAATGTGGTTTGGGCAATAACTTTTTCATCAGAACGTAAGCGTGTCTGTTTTGTTTTGAACTTGACGTAACTGCAATGAAACAAACAAAAACAACAACAACAAGTGAATAAAAATAAAAACACCATGAGTTTTCTACATATGGAAATTGAAATACAATTTTGTATTTTTCTATTGTTTATTATTTGTGTATGGGGGGAAATTCGTACAGTTTGACCTTTAAGAGTATGCATTTGATTTAATTAATGGGTGCACATAAATCTAATATCCTCGGAAAATAACTCAAAATTAGAAAGGATATATAAGAAGCAAAATAATTATAGGTTTTTGTGATGGGATTGGCAATGAAGACGACGTGAGTGGAGATTGATGTTAAAAACGAGCCGGACTGATTTTTATAGGAACGAAGGAAAAACTATAATGTGTAATATTTTATTTCAATACTTCTGCTAGGACCTACAAAGCATAACCAAATGGGTTTGTCACTAAAAAATTTGGAATTTATCAATAACCGTTTATCTTTTTCAAAAATACGGGCAATTTTTCGATGTGTGGAAATTACGAAGTTACGAAACCTTAGTCAGCGTGAATTGAGTCCAGAAAGACTTAGTTTTTTTTTTATATCAGAGTGAATTGAGTCCTGAAAAACTTATTTTTTTATATTTTTTATATCGACTTCATAATTTCCATATAATAAAGGATCACTGCCAAGGCCCCATTTTAGCGATATCGCCCGATTTTTAGTCGCGTAATTTAAGGGGACCTCCCACATTATTAGATTTAAAAAATTGAATTTTATTTTTAGATTTAATTCGAACATACACTAATTCTAAAATGGCCTTATCAATTTTGAAGTGAAAATGTCAAATGTCTTGAAGATATATCCAATTTATTGTGTTAGCATCGGTGAAGATCTTCCTTTTTAATTTAGATTGTGGTCAAAAAAAGCGATTTTTCCAAAACAAAAAAAAAAAAAATTACCTTCCCATTCAAAATTTTAAAAATCGGGAAAATAGGGTTCCCTTGCATAAAAAAATTATTTAGGACCTGTGTCCAATATAATTCTAATCTTCTCCTTGTCCTGCATTGATTTATGCCCTGCAAATTCTTACGCGATTTCAAATCAACTATAATCCCACAAATTGAACAACAACATTTTCTCATTTTCATCTCAACTCGACTCTCTGCCCAGCTATGACGTATGCCAACAAATAAAGAGTCAATTATTTCGCAATATAAATCCCCGTTCTCAATCTTATTCTGAAGGTTAGAATAATATAGACGTTTAAGAAAAAACGAAAACACACAAAAAACATGGATGAAAATAATACGCATCTATATCGATGGGATTGTAATGAAATCCACACTTCAAGTGTCTGTAGCTGTTTGTCACTCCTTTAGAGATTGAAAATATGGAACAAGTGCGAAATTTATGGTACATTTACGTGGAGATGAGACTGAATAACATTTAGCAAAATTAAATAAAATTCTTGTCGTAGTTCTCGTATTTATTCATTCATATATAGCCCAACCAGCCAGTCAGCCAGCTAGGCATTCATTCATTGTTTGTAATCAGTGACTATTTGTAGCTTCTAATATGCAAAAACATGTACAATAAAGTTAAAGTGGAAACTCTATACAACATTTTTATTACTAAAAAAGTAAGTGTGATTCGCCCTCGATTTACAATTATGATTGAGTACGAGCCAAATAGCTGACTCGATGACTGGTATAAGTTCGTTGTGCAAAATATGTTCGTCAACTTTGTAGAAAATGCTTCAGTATTTTCTCAGAATGTCATATTTCCCCATAAAGACCCTATTTGTGTCAGAACAATTTCTTAGAAGGCACAAATTCTGTGAAGTTTTCATAAAATAATTAAAAGCTTGAGAATGTCAAGGATTATCTATGTATTATCCTGGTATATAATCCTGAAATATTATCCACTAGTTGTCTATTATATCACGACTGCAAGTACCTTTTTTGTATCGCCTTTATCGAGTATCCACTGTCTTCTCTCATCAATTGTAAAATACTAAAGATGCTGATTCTAATGAGATTCGTTGTACATTTGTATCTGATAGAAATAAAACACACATTGATACAATGTATGTACTCATATATGTGTGTTTGTACATATGTGTGTGCTCAGCTGTGCACCCAACTTCTATTGTATTTTAATTTAAATCGTATTAAGTGACTTTTCTAAGCTTATCAGAGCAAATGGAATACTAATTTTATAAATGACATTATGGAATCCGGTTTGATGATGATGTTCGCTACTGCTGCTACTGTGTACTTAATAATCGAATCTCTATTACTCTCCCTGACAATTGTTTTGTCAACTAACTCTACACAGCATGTCTGCCTATCAGTCAGAATGACGCCTAACAAGTCCAAATGTCTTGACATGTACATTTACATAATTATGCATATTCGTATATGTAGATAACCAACAATGCCGACTTGTTTATGAATTTATCATTACAAATGTCTTTGCAAAGCAGGCAATTGATATGTACTTAGTGCGATCATTGACAGCTTCCAAGTAACATGTGTGTATTTGGGGTAGAAATATGTAAATAAATACACAATTGTTAAGCGATAAATAAATGTACAGTTAGTTAATTGTAAATTAAGTTACATGCCGATATAAAATAACTGGTTTTAATGTTGCAAAAGAATATAAAATACATTCTAAAGGGTTTGGTTGGGATATATTGTATACAATTTGCAGGGTTTAAATGAATTTAAAAATTAATGGAACCTACTTTCGATTTTTTATTTTTATTTAATATGAACTTTTAACTTCTTATGAATGTATCTTAAAAATTTCAAGCGAACACACTATCGATTGTGTAAGCGATAGGTGTTTGCGATAACGTATTATTCCAATTGGTTCCAAATTTTAACACGTGATTCTGCACATATACAGCTGTCGTATGAACTAGGATAAATCCAATCGGAGAAGATCTTCCTTTTTTTCAGCTTTTTTTGTGATCGAAAATATGAGATTTTCAAAATATATTTTTGCTTGGTCCGCCAATTTGCTAATTTTTGACTAAAGTGTATATAATCTTTCTAATCATGTTGGCATTTTGAGATTCTGATGATCCAGTGATCGGAAAGAAAGAACTTTTCTTTCATTCATTTCATTTGATTACAAATAGCGTTACTTTTTATACCACAATGTGGTACAGGGCATTATGTCTTTGTGAATATGTTTGTAACAATCAAAAGGCTATCTCAATTCCTTCTATACCATGGTTCCTTTTGAGAATAAGCATAGGATAACTATCTGAGTCGATTTATGCATGCCCGTCTGTTCGTCCGTCCGATGCGATTTGGATGAAATTTGGCACAGCTTTGGGTGAAATTTGCACGAACCTTATTGAAATTGGAGAAAATCGGTTCAAATTTAGATATAGCTGCCATATATAGTTCCGTCCGATTTTATTTAAATGATGCACCAAACTGCCAATATCGGTACGATTGAGACAAAATTTTGCACAGAGTACTAAATAAGGTCAAGATTGATGTATGCCAAGCTTTGTTGAAATCGGTTCAGATTTACATATACGTCCCATATATAGTTTCGTCTGATTTTATGTACTACCAATATTGGTACGATTGAGATAATATTTTGCATAGCGGATTGCTATTACTATAGATTGACTTTCGTGAAGTTTTGTTAAAATCGGTTCAGATTTAGATATAGCTCCCATATATATTTATACCCTTCACCACAGTGTGGTACAGGGTATTATGTCTTTGTGCATATGTTTGCAACAGGCAAAAATAAACGAGATAGACCCAGGGTTCCTTTTGAGAATATACATAGAATCACTTTCTGAGTCGATTTATGCGTGTCCGTCTGTCCGCAATGAATAAGGTCAAGAATGATGTGTGTTAAGTTTCGAGAAAATCGGTTCAGATTTAGATATAGCTTCCATATATATCTTCATCTGGTTTAAGGTAAAGTTTGTACCGATTCGCACGAAATTTGGCACATCGTATTTGCACGAAATTTGGCACATCGTAATGAATTAGGTCTGATTTAGATATAGCTCCCATATATATTTTCGTCCGATTTAAGGTAAACGGTGTACCAGAGTCCCTATATACCTTTCGATTTGCACGAAAATTGGCATAGAGTACTGAATTAGGTCCAGAATGATGTGTGCCACGTTTTGAGAAAATCGGTTCAGATTTATATATAGCTCTCATATATATTTTCGTCCGATTTAAGGTAAATGGTGTACCAAAGTCCCTATATATATTTCGATTTTCACGAATTTTGGTATACGGTACTAGAATGATGTTGCCAAGCTTCGTGAAAAGATCCATAGCTAGGCCGATTGACACAACGTACTGAAGTAATATAAATTAGTCTCTGCAAGTTTCCCTGAAATCGGTTCAGATATAGATACATATAAACATATACATATAAACATATACATTCCAAAGTTCTGTTTTCAATATTGCGACCTCAATCGGATGGACATGGCTAAATCGACAAGGAGTAGCCTTTAAGAATAAATGGGGTCCCTGATGAATATTTCATTATTATATATTAACAATTTTGTTCATTTAATTTTTTAGCACTTTTTTCTGGCACTTTTTTAAAATTTCTAGCACTTTCTAGCATTTTTTTCAATAAAATCTAGCATTATTTCTCAACAGAGTTTTGGCAACACTGCGTAGGATACATATGTAGAATATACCCAAAGTGGTGAAGGGTATCTTATAGTCGGCCCAGTCCGACTTTACTACTTTCCTTACTGGTTTCTTCTGATTTAATGTAAATGGTGCTCCAATGTCCCTATATTCCATTCAATTTGTACGAAATTTGCGTACTAAATTATTATGGAATTATGCGTATTTTGTGTGAAGCAATTCCACAGAAACATATTTATTTTATATGTCGCACAAATAACAGTTAGGTCATAACAACAGTAATGTTCTCAGATCACTGCCTCGGCCAAAATTTTTGACTAAAAATTAAATGGTTCATAATTTCAAAATGCAGACATTAAAAATTCGGGAATCGTTTCTTCTACAACACAATTCCTTTAAAAGCCCTTATCAATTATTCGATTTCCTCGAACTAGCATAGATTTTAATCTATCCTAATTTGAAAACTGAAACTTTGTTTTCTTTACCTTTTATTGCCATCTCTTTTGATGTTTAATAGGTTTTTTTCTATCCCGAAAAACTTTCCTCGACACTTATTCGAAATAAAACCAACTAAAATGTTGTCAAACCCAAGTACATATATCTCAACAAATAACAACAGTTACCTGGCAACGGCTAATATCAAAACCAGGAAGAACGAGACACACACACACACATCCATACAAACACAGCCTTGGAGCATCTTCCATCGAACCGAAGTAATGTTCTGTAACTGTAATACCATTAATTAAATCAGGCGTGAAGTTGATGTTTATGCAAACGAAAGCTAATTGATTTCAAAATTTCTTAGTCGTATCATTTGCCAGAATAGACGTTTTAAAGTGTAATTTAATACCCGCAATTAAACGCACAACAGCTATTTGCAACAATGTTTGTTTTGTGGATTTTTTGGTCTACTAATTAAAATTTGAGGTGTACATATTTAAAGTTATTATTTAAATTTATACAATTTGTGAATTCATGTGAATGTTTAAAAACATATCGTAAAATTATGTATGATATTTTCAAAGCTAATTAAACCTCACAAAGTGATCGGCTATATTCAATTACAATGTATCACATTGTTTAATACACCTTTATGATATCACATGATCAGCCTCTACCTTTTTTATAACCCTATCAATTATTCTTACAAAAAAATGCTATTAAATGCTCTGTAATAACATGTGCTGGGCTATAAAAGACAACAGATAATTTATTAGCTATTTACGTTTTTGGAAAGTTTAAATTGAATGTGGTATAACTTAAATTCTATCAACGATAGATAGCTGTTTTTATTATTTTATTACCGATACTAGAAATTTAATGAAACACAAAAGTTGGCAAACATTATTGGATTAAGAAAAACCAAGCCGTTATTTACTTAGTTTACTGAAGTCTACTAAGCCAAATTTTTGTGTATTTTGAGATTACCTACAATCTGGTTGTGCATTTTTTCCTAAAAAAATCCAGCAAATATACTGCCCAAATTATAACAATTGTGCTATTAAAAATAAAACAAAGCTAAACATGTCTTGACGTAAGTATGTATGTTCGTCATACACATATAGTAACTGAATTAACAACAATGATAATAATATGTGTTTTTGTAAAATAAATAACCTGAGAACATTTGTAATCACTTCACTTTCGGAATTTCAAATTACAGCTGCATCATGCTTATCGTAAATTTCATTTTGTGAACTTTGGAAGAAATTGTGTGGAAAATATTCTGTTTAACTTTACTATAAAAACGTCACAGACTAGTCTGTGTGCCAACCTGCCGGTAGGTCAAATACGTTTTGTTGAGAGTAATGAAAAAAAAACGTAATTTTATGAATAAATTGAAGACAAGTTATGATTAAATATGTTAATTGATATAAATTGTGATAAGTTCTTAGGCATACAAACAAAACGTGTAATTGATAAAATTAAAAAAAACAGGTTATAATTTATAATTGAATACGTTGTATATAATTAGTAGGCATATCTATAAGTATTGCATTATATTTATTTAATATGGTGTAGAAAAAAGCATGTTTGCCATTTTACGCTTTTTTGTGGACTTATTTCAAAAATAATTTGTTCAGCACAATAATAATTTAATTTAACTTGTTAAATACTCTTTGGTATTGAAGCGTTAACTTTGATAAGAAATTACAAAATATATTTGGCATTAAAAATAACCAAAAAATAAATAAATAATGCCTCATTTGTCCCCTTGTGACCTTCATTAGTCACACTTTAACGTCGAATCAAGTCTTAATTTTTAATATTTTTTTGCACAATTTCTTCTATCGCCACAATTAAAATAAATAAAATTTAATTATGCACTGAACATTATTTTTAAAATCCGGTTCACCATAAAACAAATCATTTGTCTGACATGCATAATAAATATAACAAAACAAAAAAAGAAACACAGTTTTCTTATCATCTTGCAAAAGGAATCTGAATTTTTTTTTTTTGCCAAGTGTGTGGGAAACGCTTCTTATAATGAAAGCTCAAAGTTCAAATCACACAAATATTGCGTCAAAGGGATTCAACATTATCAACACTACAGGGTGGGGGAATACAGACTGGTATTAAAGTTCACATATTTCTTATGTTGATAGCCTCTATCGCGAAATACTGACACAATCGACAAATTATAAACAAATAAATATATTTTTGAATTTTATATAATAAAAATATGTTTTATTATTGAAATGTTCGGGCATGAAAACATTTTGGATTCACTACATATATATATATATATTACATCTTCGGATTTGATCCGACTGTTAAGAAAATGCAGAAGTCTACTAAAATACAGCTACCTAAATTAATTCCTTTAAAGGACGCATTGATTACAGCGACGGGCGTGGGGAGAAACCCTCATGTATCAAAACATTTTCTGATAGATGTATTTGGTCATTATTTTCAAATTACATAAAATCCACTTGATAAATCCGCCCAAAACTTTTAAAGGAGAACTTGGGGCTATTTATAACATGAACATATATTGCAAGATACCTATAAATTTTTAAATCTGACAATACGAAGTCCCAATATATCTTCATAAAGTTTGCGGCCTAAATTTGTTGAGACTTTTATTTGAAGACTAAGTCAGGAGATATTTTACTCTCTCAAAGGCAATAAGGAATAGGATATGATCAGGAACAAGGTCATATATATATATATATTTTTTTTTAAAAATAAGACGTGAACTTTTAAACTACCGTATATGGGGTAGAATATTTATGGCGAAGGTTTGAAAAAAATGTAATTAAAAAATCCTTCTTTTCGACAGCGGGCGTGATTGCCGACCTCTGGAACATTCGAATCTTATAAATGTAAAAATTACTTATATTATTAAAAAAATACTTAAAAAATTACTTATATATTACTTAAAAGTAATTTTTAGCAAAATGTTGACCATTTTGAGTGGTAGGTACCAGAAGGGGCGGACCGATATTCCCCTTCTTCGAAGTTATACTTAATTTAGAAGAAATATTATGATATGGAAAGTTTGGATGAAATCAGTGACTCCCTTCGAGAGTTATCGTGCGCACCAGCCAGCCAAACAGACAGATGGACGGACCGACATTTGTAAATTGACTCCAATTTCTCAATTTGCTATTTTTTCATTCATTATTTTCTTTTACATTTGAATACCCACTTTATTTTCGAATATATACATTTTTTTATTGCAATAAAGAATTATAATCAATTCAATACTTACTTAACGGCAATCCGCATTTGATCTGCCAAAGGTATATCGAATGACATCTTAACAATTGACTATTGACTGTTGCAGTTACTTTGAAAAATAGTGTCAATTGATTTCAAAGCTCCTCCTCTTCTTCAATTTAAACCGATTTCATTGAAATCGCAACAGCAATCATACGCTCGGTGTGACCAGTCAGCTAGTCAGTCAAGTGAACATAAGAGGAACCGAAACACACAAAAATCAATGAAATCTATGTTTTGTTATGCTTCACTTTATAAAGTCACTAAACGGGAGGAATAAAAAAATAAACTATTCTACGGAATTAACAACAGTACTTATTGACTTATGTTTTTGGGTGTTTCCTCTTTTTTTTCTCAATTTTTTTTTGTTTTCTTAGAAACTTCACATAAATAGACAAATAAATATTCTTAACACAGAAAACACTTCAGTTTTACGCACAGATTTCAGGAGCACAAATTAGACAAAATTGTTTTCTATTTTTCTTCTTTCCATTCTATTCTCTTTTCCTTTATTTTGTTTTGTTCTAGTTTCTCTTGTTGTCCAAATTCACCAGTCAAACATTTCAGTCTGGAGATGATGTTTTCCACAAACAAAACACTTAAAATTGGTTCATTTGTTTCTTGGAGCGAAACCTTCCATAAACGTAAGAGAGAAAGGTTGAAGTGTTTGCTATTGTGTTTGTTGTTGTTGCTGTATTTTGTATTTGTTGTCGGTGCTTTCTATGCTTCTATTCTACTTGTGGATATTCTTCAGTGTGGACTAAAACGAACGTTTTTGCACAAGGGTTGCTCGCCAACTAAACTGAAGTGAGCAACGTTTGCAATGTGTAACACACTGACCAGCAGCAACAGCAACAGAATGAATGAATTCCGCACTCGGCACACTCCCCTGTGCAGTTTAAGTCAACAGAGACACAGATAGACACACTCTCAAACACACACAACCCCCAAGCAAGCACAGTGTTTTGCCGTACGACCAAACGACTTTGCTGTTGTAGCTCTAGCCGAGAACCGAGAATCATTGTTATTGTTTGTGTTGCCTGTCGGTCGGTTGTCGATGAGGGGAGAGATTTGCTGTTGCTTTTTATTTAACTTTATGAAGAAATACACACAAGCCCACTTGCCGAACGCCGAATACGCTCGTCTGTGTGAATATTTGTGAACGTGTGGTCGCTCAATTGTTATTGTTGTTGTTCATGCTGAACATGCATGAAAGTGGCATATTATAGATGGGAAATTCATACATGGCATTTTATATAAATATATTTGTATGTATGTATGATTATACTACATACACATGCATTTATGTTTGCTTTTGTTGTCTATGTTGTTATTTTTGTTGCTGGCGTTATATTACGGTGGCTGAAAACACTTTTAATAACAAGAAAAAACAACAACAACAAGAACGACATCTACAACGACTAGGACAACAAAAAAGGCGGTGTGTCGTCCTCAACATAGCAAAATGAACTCTTGTGCGGCTTAAATCTATTTTCAGTGTTTTTTTTCGCTTTCAGCATGTACACACACACACACACAACCACATCAACAATATAGTAAATCATTTATAGAGTGTTTGGAATATATTTTAGTGATTTATACAGTTGAGTTGGAATGTATAGCAAGAAAAATAAATTAATTAATTAAATGAAAATCTAAAAAAATCACAGGAATGTGTAGCTTCGCATGATATTGTGAAATTAATTTGTTCACAATTTTGACTATTCGAACTTGAACAAAGTTTGGAAGAAGTAATAAGATGTACAAAGTTTACGCACCAGCCGGACATTTGTAATTCGACGCCAAATTACCTGAAACGGATTTAGTCCAAAGAAACAATATTTTGATGAGGCACATTTTTAACTTATTCTCATTAGCCATAAGGCTGAGGGTATAAAAATAATCAAATAGTTTTGCTATTTATTTACCCACAACTGCCAAAAACAAAATTATATTGCTAGTCATCAACGGTATGTTTTTGTATAACCACAAAAACACAAAATTGTTTAGTGGATTGAGAACCGTAAAGTGAGGTGTTTTTTTTTCTCAGCCCATTCTACTATGGTAAATCAAAATGTTATTGCCATTTTCTTTGGAGAGCTCTCATCCAGATATTACCACCACCAATAACGATATAGGCAAAACGTTATAAACCTTTCAGTTGTTGTATACTTGTCAGTATGTACAAGTGTATGTACATTGTTGTATAGTATGGCTACTTGTAAAAATGTTAGTCCTTATTGCGACACTAACTGTTATTAACGGTTGTCTGATTTGTGGTCAATACTCTCTACTACGATAATGACGACAACCACAACAACAGGTGTTTGTTTTTGTTTTATTCTACGCGAAAGACAGGTTCTTTGAAACAGAAATGCAATGTTGAGACGATATTCATTAGGAATTAGTTAATATTAAATATTTTTATGAAACAATATAATTACAGTGGGTACTTTAATAAGTAGAGAATTTTTATATTTAACATAAAAAAATTCTTTAATTGCTTTCCGGCATTGGTACATTATTCAGAGAACATGTCTTGTTAGGGGTTTTCAGGTTTTACTGTTGTTTTAATAATTATATAAATAGATCATCAATGTGCGCCAATGGAAAAACCATTTTATTTTATTTATTTTTTGAATTTATTGGAAATTTCCAAAATGGCATTATTATGTATAACCCATTGGCGTAGCTAATTTGACTCAATCTGGGGATACCTAGAATAATCTTATCATCCCTTCATACTAAACCAATTAACCTCATATGGGAAATCTGACAATAAGTCCCCATAGAAAGGTCATTGTACGCCCGTGGCTGTATAGTAATAATGAAATCTATTTCACCACATGTATCTTTCGTCGATTCCCACAATTGTTATATTTCAAATGTTTATAATTTCACTTTCTTTCAGGTCATAGCTAGATTTCACAGTCACCAAGAATTCTTTCCCGTTACCTTGGCCTTATGTAGTAGTTGGTTGTAGTGTTTTTGTTATAACAACAAATTTGCACTACTATTATTTTTTTATTTATTATAAATGAAGGTTGTAGTTATTGTTTCTGATACAAACATCAGTCATTTCTCATGAGCGTGTGTGTTCTGGAATATATTCACTCACAATCAGCGCCACCGACACCACAACTACTTTATCAACGGCCAGAACACCAACAATTATTTTGTCTTTTATCGATTTTATTTTTTTTTATTAATTTTGCTGACAAGTCTCAGTGCTGATATGTCGGGGAGGAGAATGTTCGAAGCAATGTTTTCGTCATTTAATAGCTATTTGATAAATGTAAGTTAATATTAAAGTGGCTAGGGGGTAGAAGGAGGCAACGTTGCTTGTGAACGTTCTAATATAATATTAAGCCAATAAACTTTAAAAGTCATTAACCGTAACACATTTTTAGTTAGTAATTTTTTATTCGTTTATATACTTACGTCAATTTATTAACTAATAACTACATCTTAATTTTTTGAGTAGTGAACTCTTGTGACCCTTATTGATGGAGGTTTGGGAAAAGTTTAGATCCTTTTTGCATTAAAAATATTTTTTTAATTCTTCAATTCGCCCAAAAGGCTAAGGATAACTAAAGCGAAGCAAGTAATGCTTTGTGATAGATAATACACCGGCAAATTTTACCTTTCTAGATGTTGTTTTTTTTTCGTTTTTTCGTTTTTTTTTTTTATTTAATTATTGTTTATTTCTTTTGAAAGTATATATCGTTAAAGTTCAAAATGCGGTGGATCGATTAATTAATGCGACCTGTACTTTGTATTCAACTTAACAACAACAGACGGACAGAAAGAAAGACGGACGGACGGGCATGAATAAATCGACTTAGAAAGTGATTCTATGCACATAATACCTCTTCCACAATGTGGTGAAGGGTATAAAAATACCTACCAAATTGAGCTATATGGGTCCTCAATTTGGCATAGCCCATCATATCCAAATATTCGGTAATTTCTACACGATATTATTGATATAGGTCATCCTTTATGTATAGACCCACATTTAACTTTGTCATCTACATTTCATTATATTGAGGATTTTGTACACATGTCTCACCCAACCATGCATTATCAATATAGGACCACGATTTGGAGTTTTGAGATTTTAGAAAACAATTTCCATTAAAAATGGTTGAAATTTGTATTTCGTGTGCATTATGGCTTACAACAATCGCTTGTTACAATTGTCGATATGGATCACCTTTTCCATATTTCCCCCCTTTATTCTTTATATCAGAAGTCTCGACAGTATAACATAGTTCCTCGTGGGGTGGGAGACATCATTGCCAATACTCGTAAATGTTAATTCTCTATTGAACTTATTATTATGAATTATGAATTATTAATAACTTAATATTTATCTTTTAGACAGCAATTTAATGTTTCTGATCGTCAGCTGTTTAAAATATATCTTTGAAAAATAATGTTTGCGCAGGTTCTCTTTTTTTAATATGCCCTATATAAACATCCCTACCATTTTTGTTTATATCAGAAGTTGTAACCATATTACCCTAGGTCATTCGCTAATAATTTCAAGTACTTCTCCAAAGTTCAGGCCGGCCGAGATTAATGCTTTTTTCACTTGTTTTTTATTAAATTCGAAAAAATCCTAAATTTTGAAAGCTTTTGAAGATGTAATCATCCTTTGGCTGATTATTATGCCGCGTTACTCTTATACGTAGGCTGACACATGGGCTATTTTTCTACAATACCCTCGTTGCAAATTTCCCAAAAAATTTACAATAATTAAAGAAAACCAGTAAGGAAAGTAGTAAAGTCGGACGTGGCCGACTATATGATACCCTTCACCACTATGGGTATATTAAACAGGACTATTAGCATGAAATTGGATGAAATAAAATATGTGATATTTATATAATTGTGAATCTACCTAGATCTATCCATAAAGTATGTAAATCGACATCAAACAAATATAAATAGGCCATCCGTTGGGTTATGTCGGCACTCCTAGAAAACGCAACTATATAATTTATGTTCAATTTTGTACGATGTGCAAACTTTGATGTCAATCTGACTAACATGAGGAATTTGATGCCCAATTTACTTGAAATCGGGCGAAAATATATATGGTGCGTCAATTACTTAAAATCAATCTATAATAAAAGGGGCTATATCTATCTAAATCTGGACCGATTTTCACGAAACTTGGCAGACATCATTCTAGACCTAAATGATTAGGCTGTACCAAATTTCGTGCAATTTTGGGACACCATTTACATGAAATCGGACGAAACTATATATGGGAGATATATCTAAATCAGGACCGATTTTCATGAAACTTGGCAGACATCATTCTAGGCTCAATTAAGTACGTTATGCCAAATTTCGTGCAAATCGAAGCATATATAGGGACTTTGGTGCACCATTTACATGAAATCGGACGAAACTATATATGGCAGCTATATCTAAATCTGGACCGATTTTCTCGAAAGTTGGCAGACATCATTCTAGGCTCAATTCAATCTATAATAAAAGGGGCTATATCTATCTAAATCTGGACCGATTTTCACGAAACTTGGCAGACATCATTCTAGACCTAAATGATTAGGCTGTACCAAATTTCGTGCAATTTTGGGACACCATTTACATGAAATCGGACGAAACTATATATGGGAGATATATCTAAATCAGGACCGATTTTCATGAAACTTGGCAGACATCATTCTAGGCTCAATTAAGTACGTTATGCCAAATTTCGTGCAAATCGAAGGATATATAGGGACTTTGGTGCACCATTTACATGAAATCAGACGAAACTATATATGGCAGCTATATCTAAATCTGGACCGATTTTCTCGAAAGTTGGCAGACATCATTCTAGGCCGAATAAGTGACCTATACGTTATGCCAAATTTCTTGAAAATCGAAAGATATATAAGGACTTTGGGGCACCATTTACATGAAATCGGACGAAACTATATATGGGAGCTATATCTAAATCTGGACCGATTTTCTCGAAACTTGGCAGACATCACTCTAGGCTTAATTCAGTACGTTATGCCGAATTCCGTGCAAATCAAAGATATATATAAGACTTTGGGGCACCATTTACATGAAATCGGACGAAACTATATATGGGAGCTATATCTAAATCTGGACCGATTTTTACGAAACTTGGCATACATCATTCTAGACCTAAAAGATTAGGCTTTACGAAAATTCGTGCAAATCGAAAGATATATAGGGACCGTATACATTAAATCGGTTAAATATATATATGGGAGCTATATCTAAATCTGAACCGATTTTTCCCAATTTCAACAGGGTTCGTCCTTGGGCCGAATAAGTGACGTATGCCAAATTTCATCCAATTCGGATCATAAATGCGACCTGTACTTTGTTTACAATTTAACATGGACAGACAGACGGACGGACGGACATGCACAAATCGACTTAGAAAGTGATTCTATGTATATTCTCAAAAGGAACCATGGGTCTATCTCGATTATTTTTGCCTGTTACAAACATATGCACAAAGACATAATACCCTGTACCACAGTGTTGTGAAGGGTATAAAAATATAAAGAATAATATGCCTCGCCCTTTTTAATTATTCTACAATTCTAAATTTTTACAATGGTATTGAGCAAATTATTCTTGCAGCAGCCCTTTAATAACTATTAATAAATACCTCAACTTTTCAAGAGATTGAAAGCTGTTTATTAAATATTAAATGCCAAGTTATATATTTAATTTTTAAGTACTCGTTTTTTTATATTTTTAACATTTGTTTATAGATTCGATTGTCCGGACCAGTATGCCGTTATGAAACACATTGTAAACTTGTAACCCATTATTTTCAATAGAACAGCTTGTACCTGATTGTACTAATCTAGTAATTAAATGTTTCATATACACATTTTTTGTCTGTTAAATATTATTGTTTGTTCGAACTACATATATATTTAATAAAAAAAAAATTAGAACAACTTCAATAGAAATATATACAAAAAATTGTATTAATAAAATAGATTTTCTTTTGTGTGCATCAGACATGCAATAAGCCCCTTTATTGCATGCGTTGTTTTTTGTGTTCGTTATTACAACAATAACAGCAAGAGCAATACTAGTAATTCAATTATTTATTAAAAGCTGTTCAATGTAAAGGTCATGATCGATCAAATTTACAATTGTTAAGGGCATCTCTTGTTGTAAAGCAAACGAATGCCATAAAATGATGGCTTTGGAAAAAAAATGAAAATATGATTTTGTTTTTTTCGTTTCTATTTTAAACCGCCAATTTGTAATACTAAATGACTCTTAAAGGAATATTAAATTGTTAGTTAGTTATATATTAGAAAAAAGTCTCATTGCATTTTGATAAAGTCACAATGACTTTAGTTTAGAATAAATCAAACAATAAATTGTAGGAAGAAAACAAATAATAGTATCAACTACGGAATTTGCATGCTATTAGATTAATTAGTTATATTGTCAGATTTACATTATTCACTTAATAAAATTCAGTCAATGGAATTTAAATAGATGTGTATTGCAGTATAGTTAAAAAAAAAAATAAGAAAACAACTCATTCTATGTTAGTAATTTGCTATCAGCATGACTTTACATTTATAATGTAGTTACCATTTAATCATTTGAATTTCCTGTCTCATTGATGCATTTGACAAATATTTATACAATTTGTATCAATGTTATGCTTGCATATATTACGGATTCGAACATGATATACAATATTATATATTCTCTATATCTCACAATTGGACACTTTGAAAATTCTTGGTTTTACTTTGCAATCAACGTTTCTCAAAAAGTGGAATAAGGAACATGGTGATCATAATCCTCATATACCACAATTAAATAATGACCATATTAGTTCTGTCATCCTATCTGTAACATCTCCAAATGTTGCTGTGAAAATCTATATAATTAAATTTGTACATAATTTTAAGTCGAAGATTGAGAATATAACTGATCCTTCCTCCTTTAATGCAAATATAGTCGTCATTATAGATGAAAAAAACAAATCCTGTCTAATGTGGTATAGGGTATAATTTTGTGAAATTATCCCGAGTTTGATTCTTTCTTCACAGTTCTGTTTTTCCGTTTGTACCTCATCGAAATAATCATTTCGTATTTCGTCGTATTTTGTCTGCTGGCAGTTCCACGTTTAGGCATAGTTCCCATATAAGGGTACCCCCAATTTTCAGCATTTTTAAGGTTTTTAAGCGGGTCATTTTTACCGAATTCTTTAAAATATGGTACATTGGGTTTTATTGGTTATTAAATTAAAACTGAAAATTATAATATAGGTCCATTTTTTCTGGTAGCCCCCATATAAAAGTACCCCTTCAAATTTTGAGTATTTCGACGGTTTTGAGCGTGTTTAAAAACCGAATTCCCTGTAATTTGGTATTTTATATTTGCATTGGGTGTCAAGCCTCCCTACAAAAATTATTTATATTGGTCCCCTTCTGGGGGTAGTCCTCATATATCCCCTTTTTATATTAAAATTGTTAACTGATTTCCTACATAGTACGGAATTCAAAGACGATTAAGTTGATTTAGCCATCTGTAGTAATCATTCTTCCTTCGGAGGATATCGACATAACAAACTAGAACGTCGGCACGCATTAAGGAAATTTGAGATTTCCGAAAAACGCCTCATTAAAATTGCTGAAATCTGTATTTGGTGTCTTTTTAGTGTATACTCATGTGTATATAAATTTCGTATATGTTGTTGCTAGCCCATTGACTATCTATACCTGATTTTTAGTTCAAAAAACCTCTTAATTACATTAAATGTTTTGTAAATGGCTTTATTTAAAAAAGAGAGCGATATAATTATATTAAAAGATTACAAAATTACAGTCATTAAGTATTTAACTTGTTAACACTGATATAACAATATAAAAAAAATATTATAATAAAATACATATATAGATATATTGCAACTCATCCTCATCTACATTAATATCATTCATGATGACACAATGTCTGTGTCAGGTTTAAACTTTTTAAAACAAGTCTTTCTTTTTATCGAATAGTCTTTCCCATTGCTTAATTTTATTCATTTCCGGCAAATCGATATATTTCAATTCATCACTAATGTTTAAACATTTATAGACATCATCGGATTTTTTAATGGGATCCCATGTGAGATTTTCCATGCCAGGTATGTCATTACTGTGTGGTTTGCCAGTGGTGGCGAATTCCGTCCAAATACCCACCATGCGTTCAATGGTTTTGTATTCGCGACTCTCCTTTGGCATACGCTTAGCCAATATGTTCCAAAATAGATAGGTTAATTCATCGGCATGGCTGACACCCTTGATGCCACGGCCGAAACGCATAATGCGGTAAGGGTTAATCAAATCTTCGGAATCGAAATCAAAACGATACAAATAGATGGGTGAACCGGCAGTGTGATTAAAACGTAATTGCAAAAAGCGATGCATGGGGAATAGGAAGTAGGCGTAGGAGCACATCTGGAAAACAAGTATTTATTTTTTTTACATATAACTTTTGTTACAGATGTTTACATACCTCCATATAATTATCCAGTGTGGGCGATTCACCATCAACATGTGCTTTTTTCAGTATGGCCGCCCTTTCCAGAGTCTCAGGGGCACTGCGCTCACCATCAGCCAATTCGCAAGGCACATAATTCACACATGTTTCCAAGTCCTTAATTAATTCTGGATGTTGTTTACCAACTGAAATAAATATGAATGCATCAACAACTGACTCCAATTCGACACTCCTCCAACTTACTAGCTCGGAAAAGTAAACCCTCATACGAAGTGTTACCAATCATTGTGGGTATGGAATTTCCCCAAGCGGTCTTGATCATTTCCCGAACCGGTTTGGGTACAACACAATCAGCTGTCTGGTATGGTTCCACGGTTGGTCCAAATGGAAACATGACCTGGTTTTGCATTTCTTCGGGTGTTAAGACGTGAGCCTCTTCCCTAGTCAAATCATAGGGATTGGCTTTCATAAGGAATTCCAAGACATCTTTATCGTTATCTTCTCCTTTGTATCCCAGACGTTTGGCAATGGTTAAAGCACGGAGTTGGCAATCAGTAGATGCCCATGAACATATGCTATAACCAGACATCATAATACCACGATGGAACAGACCACGAGTCTGTTCAGTTATCATCATGTAATGGGTGGAAGCACCACCAGCACTTTCACCAAAGACGGTGATGTTATCGGGATCACCACCGAAATTGGAAATATTACTTTTCACCCACCTTAAGGCCATTACTTGATCCTTTAGGCCTGCATTACCGGGTACGTTGAGATTTTCCGATTTTAAGCTAAGGAAACCTTTAAGAAAAAAATATGTAAATCAAAAATCTATCATTACAATAATCTGGCAGTTTAACCTACCCAATACACCCAAACGATATTGTACTGTTACCAAAACCACAGGCTTCTTCATGAAATAGTCTGGGCCATACCAATTACGATTTGCTTCTCCAAAAATAAATCCACCACCGTGAATGAAAACCAAAACGGGGCGTTTTTTGTCCGGCTTCAACTAAATTAAAATTCGGCTCAATAAAAGTTACTTGACAAATAAGATTTTTGTTTATTACTCACATCATTGCAATAGACATTTAGATACAAACAATCCTCCGAACCAGTTGGTTTACCACTGATAAAATCTGTTTGCACCGATCTGTTAGGTCCACCACAGCAATCGCGTACACCTTCCCAGGGTACTGGTCTTTGGGGTGCTTTGAATCTCAACTCACCCACGGGAGGTTTGGCATACGGAATACTTTCAAAACTGTAATACGAATCATCGTAGACAGTCATACGTTTAACACCTTTTATTTGTCCATATTCTGTATCGACAGTTTGTGTTTCCGATGTTGTTAAACGGTAGTTTGTATATTTATTGACAACACATCTGAAAATAAAGAATCAGTGAATTATTTTAAAGTATACTTTTAGGCAAATGTATTAATATTTTATTTGAAGTAAGGCACAGTGTTTCAGAGGGTGTAAAAATATACCCTACACCACACTGTGGTACATGGTATTATGTTATTGTGCATATGTTTGTAACCGACAAAAGGAAAGGAGATATACACATGTTTCCTTTCTAGAATATGCATAGAATCACTTTCTAAGTCGATTTATGCATGTCCGTCAGTCTGCCTGCCTGCCTGTTTGTCCATATTAAATTGTAAACAATGAAATTTAGCACAGCTCATTTACTTGGCCTTAGGACCAACCTTATTGAAAATGGGAAAAATTCTTCCTTCGATTTGTACGTAATTTGGCATAGCGTACTGAATTGAGTCTGGAATGATGTGTGCTAAGTTTCGTAAAAATCAGTTCAGATTTTGATATAGCTCCCATATCCTTATATATCTTTCGATTTGCACGAAATTTGGCACTGCGCACTGAATTGAGTCTAGAATGATAAGTGCTAAGTTTCGTATATATCGTTTCAGATTTTGATATAGCTCCCATGTATATTTTCGTCCGATTTTATGTAAATGGTGCACCAAAATCCCTATATATCTTTCGATTTGCATGAAATTTGGCATGGCGAACTAAATTGAGTATAGAATGATTTGTGCTGGTCGGCCCAGTCTGACTTTGTTACCTACTGATTTTATTTGATTTATCTACAATTTTAGATAGACTTTCGAATTTAATAAAGAATGACGTTTGTAATGCTGGGCTTAAGTTTACTAATATGATTTAATTTGGACATAACGAAAACCTAAATATTTACAAAATAGGGTTCCGTTGTATGGTGACAAATATTGATCAGGCAGACATAAATGTTTAAATCAACATAAATTTTAATTCTGATCAATAATATATGTATTTACTTTATGGGATCTCCGGTGAATATTTCGAGGTATTGCAAACGAAATGACAAATTTAAAATATAGTTTCTACGATTTTTACAATACATCAAAGTCATTTTGAAATAATAATCCCAAATCTGCAAATAGTAGCTAAACGCATTCTAAAAGTTCTAAAGATGCAAATTATTTTTATGTTTTCTTCCAGCTAAGCTATTAAAAAATTTTGCAGGTGGAATAATTAAAATCTAAACACATACCAGAATTTTAATTAATATTCAGTTGCTTGTGCTGTTTATTTAATTAACACATCTATATATTTCCATATATAGATTATCAATTAGGTTTTTGAAGGAACGTTGGAACGTTTATTGTATTTTGTTATTTTTATATAAATCGATATGTAGTGCATAGAATAATAAACAAAATATTGCAACAATTTCGAGTTGTCAGAGAATAAAAAAAACATACTGCGTGATGCTAATGCTCCTTTGCAAATATTTTTATTAATTATCTACTACAGATCCAATACAGAAGTATTGGATCTGTAGTTCTGAGACTTAATGTATGTTGTATAAAATTTATTCCACTGGCGCTTCTTATTTATTTTGCATACGTTTATAAACATGTTTATCCCTTATGTATTCTATGTCTTATAAAAAACAAAATATAATTAACAAATAATTATAATTTGATATTGCATTTTTTCCTCACAAGTTTTTATTTAATCCTCATCAATAAAGAAACAAAAACAAACAAGCAAATCATACATATTTATAAATTTTTCAAATGGGTGTGGTTCAGTTTGTTAAGTAAATTCATTCAATTCAAGTGGCATATACAAATTGGATGATGTGACTGGCGTTTGGTGTACATCATCCCCCGCCATCTATGTGAGGAGCAATAACATCTATTCGGACACACTCACAGCTTAGATTTTGAAATATGCAATGCCAATGATAATGACAATAGTAATAATAATAACAATAATAGTAGTGTTGTTGTGTTTGTTAGTTAACCAAATGCGTGGCCAGTCAGTAGCAACTGCAGCAAAGTGCATCATTGTAAATATTAACAAAAATTAATGCATGCATGACCGGTTGCTGGTTGAATTTAATATCATAGTGAGATTACAACAATGCTGTAATTGTTATTTGACAGTTGGATATTTTCTCCCTTTCTTCTCCCCTTTTGCATATTTCTACCTACATCAAATGTAGAACGAGGCACAGTTTTTATTATTTTTTTTTAATTTAATTTAAAGCAACGAAAAATGATATCATCTCAGTTGAAAATTAAAATATGCTTACTATTTCCAAATCTCAGAATTTTCAATCAGGGTAGAGTTGCAAAATTAAATTAATCGTACGACTTAATTCGCCATGCACTTTATCTTTTAGGTTATTGTCTTTTCTATTGTCTTAGATGAACATTTATTAATTTGTGTTTAATTCAAAACGTGTTTCTCATGTGCCTATGTGTATGGTAATTTTTAGCAAATTCATACTTGGCATATATAGATATTACAACATCAAACTGTTCAAAATTGAATTTATTATATTTTGCCACAAAAAATCAATATTACAAATTAAAGACAAAAACTGTCAAAAGTATGCCTAAATCATGATAATCGATGAGTATCGCTATTTTTGGGCAAGTTTTTTTTGCGTTCACTTTCGCCGTGTTTTAACTGGCCGTTTTGGTTGGAATAAACGACAGTTAAACACCCGATTAGTAAAGAGAGGATCAAAGTCGGACGGGGCGGTCTGAGTGATACCCTATATCAATATGGACATCGGAAAAAATTATATATGAATTTATATCAAAATCTACATCGATTCTCACAATATCCAATGGGATATAGCATTGTTGAGAGATGAGATACATAAAGTAACCTCGTATACATTTCAGCCAACTTTTTATTTCACAAAATATGGAAACCATTCTTAAATAAATTTGCAGTACATATTAAACATAAACATATCGTTGGTTTGCGGACGCGAACTTTCTTTTGTGACACTATTTCAATAAGAAAATATAAACAATTGTGATTAAATGAAACATAAAAATAGTATAAGAGGTTATCAGGAGTCTGACTGAGAGTTTTATAGTCTTAAGCAAATAACCATCACAGCCAGTCACACACACAAAATAAACAGCTGCGAAATTCAATACACAAAACGATAATGCAACTATAATTTTAAATAAAAAAGGAACTATCCTTAAAAAATATGGTATGCTAAGTCAGCCATGCCATTTACAACACATCACAGTCATGGCAGGTTTTTTTATTACAAATATTTAGTGATAATTACAGTACTTAAAAACATAATAGACATGGGTCTATGTTTCGTTGCCTTGTTTCAAATGATTGACATCCAAATTAGAAAAGAGAATTTATTTAACATAATTATCAACATACATGGATATATGTGTGTATATTTGTAAAATATCTTGTAAATTGTGTAAATTATTCGTTTCCGTGTCTTCAAATTAGCCACAAATTTTAATATGCACCCAAATTACATATTTTTAATTATATTAATCTGTAAAATTTTACGCATTTTATTATGCTGACACGCAATTTTTGTTTTTGTTTTTTGAGGCATCTAAAGTCCATTGGACTTGAATAACATGTTTACAAGAATTTTGAAAGAAAGGTTGTTTACCTTTCAGTTAAAATGTGAAAAATACGGAATTTAAAGATTAGGCTACAAACTATTGCTTTCAGGCTATAAAGATCCCAAATTGTACATTGCAGTCAGTTACAGTCGAAATTGCTTATAATGACGATCAAGGGATCGTCGAAATTGATGGCTATAAGCGATAGTAGAGAATTTTAGGGCGCGAGTTAAGAGAATTGCTGTAATTAACTATGTTACCAACAAACTACAGAAATGAGGCACTTACAATTTCTATTCTACGTTGATTCAAAATAATAAATCGGGCGAACTAAGGTCTACACGAATTAAGCTCATGAAAAATGTATTAAGTCCATTTTCACACTAAAGTAATTTCATAAAATAATTAACATGAAGGAATGCACTCTTAGATCAAGTTCCCTACGACAGTAATCAAAAACCACTAAAGTCGGACTGAGCCGACTATATCATACCTTTCACCATTTGGGTGAAGCAACATTGGAAGGAACATTGACATGAAATTGAACGAACTTAAATAGGTGATTTTTATCTATATCTAGACCGACTAACATCAGTCCATGCATATACCATTCTGCAACCTAGGTTGGGACAAATTTATTTGAAGCAAACTTAATACACGCTTTTCGGCATACCACACTCTTCAAAATTTAATCTCAATCAGACACCTGTTCGATATATATATATATATATATATATATATATATGAAAGCTATATATGCATATGAACCAATTTCAACAAAAACGACATTCTAATTTCAACTTGATACGTTGTGCAAAATTTCGTGTCAATCTGAAAAACATTAGAGGCTGGTGCATCGATTTCAACGAAACTCGCCAGAGATTAATTTATATTAACTTCAGTACATTGTTCAAAATTGTGTGCCAATCGGAAAAACTTTTCGTCTTTAGTGCACCATTTACATAAAATCGGACAAAAATATATACGGGAGCTATATTCAAATCTGAACTGATTTTCACGAAACTTAACACACATCATTCTAGACTTAATTTAGTACGCTATGCTAAAATCCGTGCAAATCGAAAGAAATATAGGGACTGTGGTGCACCATTTACATTATGTCGGACGAAAATATATATGGGACACATATCTCAATCTTAACCGATTTTTCTCAATTTCTATATGGTTCGTCCTTTGGCCAAATAAATGAGCTGAGCCTGTTTACAATTTAATAGACGGAGAGACATGCATAAATCGACACAGAAAGTAATTCTATGCATATTTTCAAAAGAAACCATGTGCCTATCTCGTTTCCTTTTGCCTGTTACAAATATATGCACAAAGACATATTATCTTATACCACAATGTGGTGAAGGGTATACAAATTGTTCACTGATGAACTCGATCGAAGAACTTATAATTTCGTGTAATTTGTTCCATGAAATCACTTTAGTGTGTCCTTCGACTTAGCATATATAATCTTTAATTTTAACTTCTTAAAATTTGTATAAACAGTTAAAGCTCTCCTAAGTGTAAAATATGTAGTCCATTTTTTATAATTTTCGTACTAATTTATAACATTTCCAGTATAGTAAGCATTTCCATATATATATAGTAAAGTTACATACTAAATTTCAGAGTTCACTACCCGCCCAACCGAGTTAATATTTTCGTTGACAATTGCATTGAAAACATTGCAAAATTTCATCGATGTCAATGTGTGTATCATGTAGGGTGACATATGATCGGATTATTAAATTGCGCTTTTCTTCAATACTTTTTTATCATTTATTTTGGTTCAGTTTATTTTTGTTATGTTTGGGTTTGTTGCAAAATTAAAAAAAAACGAAAACGAAAACGAAAACAAATTCAATTACACTCAATTGTTCAGCAGTTGTTTGGATACAAACATGTCATGTGCATGACTCACATTCCAATTCAACTTCTTGATCATGTCATTGCAGGCACTTTGAAATTCTTGAGACAAATTAGCTGTCTGTTTTGTTTATTGAAGGACCGTTACAACTTAGTGGGAATTAACTTCATACTTACTTGATTTTCCATGAGAGTTTTTCCATTTGACTAACTTTGAAATTCATTTTGGATGGTTGATGAATTCAATTCTCTGCCTCGAAATAGTTGAAACTCACAAGCTCAATTACGGCCTGTCTAAATAAGAGTTCTTCTTGTGAAGTATTCACTAGAACTTCCGGAGAAATAAATAATGAGGATATCTTTCTGTGTTGTTTTGTTGGAGATCAACGGGAATGTTTTTGGAAACGAAGCGAAATTAATTGCCAGTGAGAAGCCGGAGAAATAACAACTGCAACGCACGAATTGAAGATCGAAACTGAAAATACAATTTTCGAATAGCAACAAAGCAACGTCTGTATGAATATTTTTTTTGCAAATTTTGAATGAAAAAAGTGGCAGCAAAAATGATACGACAACAACAAACTGCAGCTGAACGCAGGCGCAGCGTCAGCGTCTGGCAAAAAACATCAACAAACAAATCCCCAAACCTCTGCTGGAGCCACCGGCCGGCCGGTTGGATCGTCCATTCGTTTAGTATGAGCTGTTGCGGCTTCTTGTGGTGGCGTTTGTGTGTTTTGAATGTGTGTGCGGGCCAATGAATCTTGTACGCGCGACGTTAATCAGTAGCAGCAACAAAAACAATAGAAATGACAGAAGCACATCAAAACAAAGATGAAAACAATTAAGCCGTATCTTTTCGATACAAAAGTACCCTACAAAAGTATCTTCGCCAACAGAATTGTGAGATGTGTGTTGCAGTGTTGCATTACTTAGAAGTGTGAAGTTGAAATGGGTTTGAAGAGGAAATTGTAGAGAACTATTGGAGTGGACACTAAATGGAATATTAATAGATTGTTCAAATGACAAAACAAAATATAAAAAATAATTTAAAACCCCCCGAAATGTGTTCACTTAAATCGATGCATTTATAAAATAGGGTTATTACTTTGGTATCTCCAAGAACATTGTAAGAAGTCAATTGGGTGTGAGAAAAAAATTAGTAGCCGATACATGTACGTGAAATATAAAAAAAATATATTTGTTTTTATTTTTCTTTTTATGTCGTATGATAAAGCTTCTGAGGCTATGTTAACTCAGAATCGATATTGATTTTCGGATCGTACTTTTGAAGCATATCCTGCAACCTCTATGTAGTCATTTTTAGTTAACAGTAATAGTTAAAAACATTTTGGACATATGTTGGAGCATGTATACAAGAACTTTAGTATTTTTTTCTAGTATTTTTTCAAAATATTTATTATTTTAGCAGCAACTTGCATGGTCAACTTGCAAAACATCGCTATTTCGCATATTCGCAAAACACTTCACGGAATACATAATGAAGACAACCACCTCCCCAAACCATATATGTACGTCAAAATCGTTTGGATCATCTTCAACACATTTGGCTAATAAATAGGGAAATTTCGTTTTCAAAAAAATTTGTTAAGTGAATTTAATTGTCATTGTGGACTGCATTTCTGGAATTGTTTTGGCACAACAAACATTAACAAGCTAATTTTAATTTGCATATTTTTATAGTCTCCCATTCGCAATTTTTTCTGTTTTTTTTTGTATTTGCTTTTAATCGCACATTTGTTTAATGATTTATTTCTTGTTTTGTTTCTGTAGTTCAATATCAAGTGCCGGTTTTTTGTTTGTTTGTATGTTTACATTTTGTAGAGAGGGGTTGAGAGCAAAAAGAAAGAAAAAAAGAAAAAACAAATCGTTGTGGCTATATGTGAATCAGTTATCAGCTGTGCAATTTTATTTACACTAGTCTACAGTAGAAGAATATTGAAGTCAATTATCTACAACAGATTGACTATCTCTATAAGCCTTATTTTCTAATGCAAATTGTGTAAAAAGTCGTCTATTCATAAAATAACAATATAAGGTCTTCCATACCTTGGGCGCCCTATATAGGGTCTTCTATCTGCTGAAGGACTGAAGAAATGATTTTGTCGATATAAGTGCGATGGATAGACTTCTATGTTTTGATCTATAAAATCATTTTTTATGAATACTACTTAATTCCAAACCATTACTTTTCCCTTAGGGTATATACATTACAATAACGTATTTATTGTTCTCCAATTTTGAAATCTTTACAATTCATCACTATTTCTAAAACAAATCTTTATCATACAAACTATTCCAAACATCTAACTTATTTTGGAATTCCTTCGATATTTCTTCAAACCGAATATCATTTGAAATTCTAAGCCATTGTTTGATGTCACTTTCAGTTATCGTCTTCCATTCCGAATTCTTGGTGTACTGGCAATTGGGATTCGATGTTTTGGCAAATTGGGTCCACAATTCAATCATGCGACGTATTGTTAAATATTCTTTCGAATCTTTTTCCAATTTCCACGAATAAAAAGCATAGAATAAATATTCTAAATCATCGGCATGTGCAACACCCTCTTCTATATCGGTACCACAAAACATTTTGCGATGATGATTGAATGTGGGTGAATCAAAATCGAAGAGATATTGATAGGTGGGAGCCGTGGCAAGTTCTTTGCGAGATCTGATAACACGATGTAGGTCATGCCAAATGGAATAAAATGAACAGTGCTGAAAAAGAATTGAATTGCAATTAGAATAATAATTATTAGGAAGTAAATGTGTGTGACTCACATCTAAATATTTCATAAGATATTGCTTTTCATCGCCCTCAGCTGCTTTGAAATAGAGATCATACAAAATATTACCCAGTGATTTTGCTTCCTCATCAGTTTTCCCAACTAATAGTTCTGGCGGAACTAACAGTTCAGGTCTGGTTTTATATAAATTTAACAGCTCCGGCTTGTGTTTAACTTGTGGATATCTAACCAATCCCTCAAAGGAGGTACCACCTATTATCAAAGGTATAGAATTACCCCATGAGGTTTTCATGCTTTCCAATAAAGGTTTTCGAACAACGGCTTCCGGATTATCATAGGGCTCCATTGAAGGCACAAAAACAAAGAAACCACCTTTTAAAATAACTTCTTGGTTAAGCTTATCCATATGTAGCAATTCGCTTGCAGGGCATTGTTTTAAAAACTCCAACACGTCACGATCGTTGTTATCTCCTTGATAGCCTTTCTCGCAAGCTAATTTATATGGCAAATCGGTGGTATCTTTGGTTAGGGCCCAATTATTTAAAATACAACCGGACATACAGATGGCTTTGTGGAAAAGACCCTTGGTTTGGTCGGTACACATCATGAAATGGACCGAAGCTGCTCCAGCACTTTCTCCAAAAAGTGTAATGTTTTCATTGTTACCACCAAACTGGGCAATATTTTGCTGCACCCATTTGAGTGCCAACACTTGATCTTTAAGACCAGCATTACCGGCAACATTGAGTGATGGATCTTTTAGGCTAAGAAAACCCAATACGGAGACACGATAATTAAAGGTAACTAATATAACGTCTTCCTGCATAAAATAGTCCGGGCCATATTTAGATTTGGTACAGTTACCCGTATTGAAGGCACCACCGTAAATATAAACTAAGACTGGTAGCTTTTCCTTGGCATTGAGCTGTGAAATATTTGAAATGAAATATATTTGATTCTTATTAAACACCAACCGTTTGTACCACTCACCCTTTTGGCATAAACATTCAAATAGAGACAATCCTCAGAACCTTCAATTTCGCCTTGGTAATTCTTTTGCAGCGGTTTCACATTGAATTCAAAACAGTCTTTGACACTATCCCATGGTTGGGCAGGCAATGGTGCCTTAAAACGCAGTTCACCTAAAGGTGGTTGGCCATACGGTATTCCTTCAAAGCTGTAGTAATCATCATCGTAAAGGGTTTTACTTTTAGTGCCCCGCACTAAACCTTGTGTAATTTTTATAATTGGCTTTTCTTCCCTGTTAGCAAAAAATAAGGGTAACTTTTGTTGTTAAAAAGCGAAAAATATATAAAAGTTCTTACCCGCTGTCCATGGTAGCCACAATGCGCCGTCCTGATCGAATCGCACTACAAAACCTAACTGAACTACTTGCGCCCGGCTGAATATTGTAGTACCTTTCAAGTGGAATTTCTCTTAATTTAAGAGAGTAAACTACACACCTTTTCCAAATCATTTCACAGAGACATTTGTGTTTGACATTTGAAAATTTCAAAGGTTAATATCTTTCAGAGCAAATTGAATACTTTTCACAATTCTGTATTATTTAAGATTGATGTTGGTTTCATTCTCTAATCTTTAGGTCAGTTTTGGGTGTTGTTGTATAATATAACAGCTTGTTTATATGTTTACGAAAAGATTTCAACTAATGAAGAACGACAACTATTTAATAGCATTTGTTATTGAAATTCAAAGAGCAGAACTATAATAACAAGGTTTTACGTACCGTCCACAAAGAATGATATATGAAGACAACTTAGGTATATATTTCATTGTTGATATACTGAAATGACAATGGTAGACATACCGCATAGGCGATTACAAGGTCCAAGGTCATCCAGTAAAACCAACAGATAACTGCATTTTTCTCAAAATATATTGAATTCCAAAAAAAATTATCATAGTTGACTTTCTAATCTATCTTTTAAAATATACAAAATGTATGAAAATGTATTTGAAAAATCAAGGTCTATATAAGGTCGGCCAGTAAGCAAATTCTTCTAGAAAACAGCTGCTTCTATTAGGTTTCACGTCAATTTATTGCCGAGGCGAAAACTAATTGTTTCGTCTTTAAATAAAATAGGTTTCAAAATATAATTTGACAACAAACTTAATACTCAGCCGTCCTAACTTTCTGACCTTATATAGGCCTTGGCGAAAAATAAATATAAATTAGACGGACATTTTTTCGAAAATATTTTCGCCATAACAACAACTTTTAAAATTAAATGAACCAAAAAAAAAAAATAAATAAATAAAATAAAAACATAAAATAACTGATGAAATACGTTCCATAACCTCTTTCTATTATAAGTCTCCTTGAATGAGAAAGAGAGCGAGTATAATACAAAACACATGTTAAATACTTTTCACTTTCTTATTAAACAAATCAATGTTAATTCTCTTTGGCAATTTTTAATATTTTCATGTTTTTATTGTAATGTGTGTGTGTTCTTTTCGAGACTATATTTTTTTTTCTCTTTAATTAGTTTCTCTTAAACATATATTTATTTTAAAAACAATTGTGTTACCCGACAATGACTGTTAACTTTTGTTATCGCAAATAAATATAAATTCTGAAGTATCTCTGTTTATTTAAAAGATAATCATTTTTTGTTATATTGTGTGGTTAATTGCTCTTCTCGCCTTAAATGTCAATAGATATTAAGGGCACGGAAGGGGTGAAGTATTTATTTTTTTCTAATTTATTTTTAAACCTGCCTTTTTTTAACAAACTTTTAATTTTTTTGGAAATAATCTATCAGTTTTGATAACGAAAGTACTTGATTTTTTTAGTTATATTTTCCTTAATTTTATATAAAAATCATTTCAAAATAATGAAAGTTTTATATGAGAATATATAGAATCCCATAATTGAAGATCTTTCTTTTCTGGTATTTCTATGGTGTACAAAGTTTCGCCTATATTGAGGGCTAGATAGGGATCTGTGCTCTTTAAAGGCCACCATATGAAAGGGTAATGATTACATTTGTCATCATAGACCAATTGATGGTGATAATCACGACTTGTGGCAAAATTTGTAAATATATCCACCATTCGTTGTATGGTTTTATATTCTGCAGAACATTTATCCAATTTCCAAGAGTGTTCACCATACCACAAATAAGACAAATCATCGGCATGGGCAACACCAGTTGTTATTTCACCCTTGGTATGCTTTTGGCGATAATGATTAAATGTGGGCGAATCAAAGGGAAAACGATAGAGGTAAGTTGGTGCTTTGGCATATTTGAGACGTGACAATAGTGAACGATGGAGACCATGCCAGAAATCTCGAATGCTGTAATACTGAAACGAAAATGGGGAAGAAATTCAGGTTTTACGTGAGGGTATTGGTCCATTAACAAGTATTTTTAAAATTTGTAAGTATGGCCAAACATTTTATTTATTGTGATTACTAAAAAATATTAATTAATATTTTTTTATCTCTATTAAGTATATCCCACTTAGTAATTAATGCCGTGCAGTATCCACTTACATGAATCACATCTGCCAGTGATGCATTTTTATCACCAAAATATGAATTAAATAATCGGTCCGCTAGTTCCAAACATTCCTCTTCGCCACATTTCTGCTTGACCAAATAGGGTAGAATTGTGACAGGATCTCTCCGAAAAGATTCTACCACATTTGTATAAGTTTTCACTTGCGAGTATAATAACAAACCCTCATCCACAACACCACTAAACATAATCGGAATATTGTTTCCCCAAGCCGTCTTCAACATTTGGCTTTGCTCAAAGGGTACCACGGTATCTATACCCACATAAGGTTCCACAACAGGTGCAAATGTTAATCGAATGCCATTTCGACGATCTTCATTGGTTAGCAACTTGTGCTGAACCAATTTCTTAGCATCTAAGGATTGTAAATATCTTACAACTTTTTCATCAATATTTTCCCCCTTATAACCATGTTGTTGGGCCAAACGAAATGCATAATCATGCGGTGGTGTCGTGGCCCTGGAGTTCAACATTGTGCCAGACATACAAATTGCTTTGTGGAATAGTCCACGCGTTTGATTTGTTGCTGTAAGATAATGTACCGATGCTGCACCAACACTATTTCCGAAGAGGGTAATATTATCAGGATCTCCATTGAAATATCGGATATATTTCTTAACCCATTTGAGTGCCAGTATTTGATCTTTTAGTCCAGCATTGCCTGGAATTTCCAGCGTTGGATCTTTTATGCTGAGGAAGCCTTGAGAAAATTTATGAAATTAAAATAAGACTTATACGCGTTTTCAGTTTGTTTCAATATGAGACAAATCCGTTTGCTTTCCTTCCAAAATCATTTTCGGATATTGTCATATAAGGAATCAAATTGTTTACATTTACCTAAAGAATCAAGGCGATAGTTTAAAGTTACAATAACAACATCCTTTTGCATAAAATAATCTGGACTGTAGAGAGCTCTTGTTGCTGCTCCATTGTTAAATCCGCCTCCAAAAATGTAAACCATGACAGGAAGAAGCATCAGAGAATATAACTGTAAAATAGTAGATATCTTTAAATGTGTATCAAAAATATGAAATTTTTAATTTGTAAAAGATTTTCTCATAACAAGCTTTCTACCGGTCGAGTTGGCTACAAATTCTTCTGTTTATATTCTCAACCGTATTATGAAGTTATATGAAGTACTCCATTTCATTTCTAATACCTCGAATTATTCGACCGGGATCTCAGAATCATGGCCGCATTTGTATTTTTTGAAAACTGCTGTTGCGTCTTTCTAAAATATATTTTATGCAAATTAACTTACCTTCTTTGTGTAGACATTCAAGTAAAGGCAATCTTCAGAACCCTCAACTTCACCCTTGAATTTATTTATTTGTATTGGCTTTACGTTAAAATCGGTACAATCTTTGATTCCTTTCCATGGCTTGGCGGGTAAAGGAGCCTTAAAACGTAGTTCTCCGACAGGTGGTTGGGCATATGGTATACCCTCAAAACTATAGTAGATATCATTGTAAATAGTGGTTCTGAGAGCACCACCAATTTGACCCAATGGTAAGGTAAGATTCTGATATTCTAGACTATCATAAAAATTCAATATTTTCTAAATAACATTATTCTTAGAAATACTCACAAGTTTTTCATTTTTCTTTTATCTATTTCTTAACACTCTGAAAATCTTTATTCGACTGAAACAAATTTTCAAACAAAGCTGGAAATATTTTGTTGACATGCTAAGGTTTTTAAATTAATTCGGATATTTATTTTGGACAATTAAAAGCTCAGCTATACTGTGTTTTCGTTGTGTTTTAATATATAAACAAATGTGTATACAATTATTATTAAATAGAATTTTATAATCCCCTAATAACTTAGGTTGCAAATGAACGAAAAATTTATAGAGGGTTCCCATAATTGTAGACACAGCTTAATTCAAATATTTTAATGCTTATTAAAACATATATATGCTGGTTATTATTCATTTGTATTTGTATTTATAAGAAGATCACATTTCTAAATTCATTAAAATCACATTTTCAACACAGTTGATCAGCTTCATAGATGGAATCCCACAGCAAAAGATCGTTCTTTTCTGGAATAGTTTTAAGTTCCAATTTTTCGTCAATATTTAAAGCCTCATATGGGTCGGTAGCTTTCAACGGTTTCCATTGAATCGTTTTATCTACATTGGCCAATCCACACAATTCAAATTCATTATTCAATGTCGATGACTTGGCAAAGTCCACGAAAATTTTAACCATCCTTTGTAGAGTTTGATATTCTTTGGTATTTGTATCCAATTTCCAGGCATAGAAGGCATACCAAAGGTAGGAAATATCATCGGCATGGGCAACCCCATTTTTAATATCATTACCACAGAAACGCTTACGATGATGATTGAAGGTGGGCGAATCGAAGGCAAACCGATATAAATAGGTGGGTCCTGTGGAGTGTTTTAGACGAGCCAAAATGGAACGGTGGACACCATGCCAGAACATTTTGATGCCAGAGTACTGAAAATACAAAATTAAATTTGTTACGAAAATTGGTAATTTTCACAGAGGAATTACTATTCATTGTACTGGATTTCGTTAACCCAGTGGGTACAATTTGTCAATGCCATTATAACAAATTAATCCTCATAAAGTAGGTTAAACCGGTAAAATGTTCTAATGTAAATGCCGTTGTTTTCCCTATTTTTATATTTTAATAGTTTTATTTTTACCAAAAAAAAATACTCACATAAACAATTTTATGCAAATCACTGCCATTCGGTCCCTTATCACCAAAATGATTTTCAGATATTTTCTTAGCCAATTCGAGATTCTTCGCCTTATCATTGCTCACTCTCACTTCATTTGGCAACAATCTCTCTGGATCCAGTTCATAAGCTTTCGACATTTGGGGAAACATTTTATATTTGGGATAAATAAGTAAACCTTCATCGGAAGTACCACCAAACATGATGGGAATATTGTTGGTCCAAGCAGTTGCCAACATATTACGAGGATGTTCAGGCACCACACAACTTTCGGAGACATAAGGCTCAATGCATGGACCGAACATAAATGAGACACCATTTCTTTTATCTTCATCGTCCAGTAAATCGTCTCTAATCAATTTTGCCGGTTCTAGGGAACGCAAGAATTCAATAACTTTGACGTCTTTATTTTCACCTTGGTAGCCATTCTCCTTGGCCAAACGATAAGCATAATCCTTGGGTGGGGTGATGGACCAGCTATTCAACATTGTGCCCGACATACAAATGGCCTTGTGGAATAAACCCTTGGTCTGTTGGGTGCCCGTTAGGAAATGAGTAGAGGCTCCACCGGCACTGTCACCAAATACCGTTATATTTTCAGGATCTCCATTGAAATGTTGAATGTATTGTTTAACCCATCGTAATGCCAAAACTTGATCTTTAATGCCGGCATTACCAGGTACATCCACTGAGGGATCTGCAACGCTTAGAAAACCTGAAAGCAGCAGACCAGCAGCATTACTTGCAAAAATATTCAATTGCTTTAGATAATGCGATTCACATACCCAACGAACAGAGACGATAATTAAAAGTCACCACGACAACATCTTCACTCATAAAATAATCAGGGCTATACATGTGACGTGTGGCTTCTCCAAACAAAAAACTGCCGCCATAGATCCACACCAAAACAGGCAAAGGTTTGGGAGAATTCAGCTGTAATGTAAGGGATTTGGGTTACATCAATTCGTCCCCTTTATACTTATCCTACTCCACGATTACTTACTGTCTTGGCGTAAACATTCAAATATAAACAATCTTCGGAACCCTCAACAATGCCAGTTACAGGATTCTTTTGTATGGGTTTAATGCTAAAGTCCGTACAGTCTTTAACTCCTGTCCATGGTTCTGCGGGCATGGGTGCTTTAAATCTCAATTCACCCACCGGTGGTTTGCCATAGGGAATACCCTCAAAACTGTAGTAGTTATCATTGTAAATGCTGGTTCTGGTTGTGCCCTTTAATTGGCCAACAGGTAATTTTATTTCTGGATACTGAACACTAAAAACAAAATCAAATGTATTGTTGTTGTTGCTGTGTGGTGGCACACCAGTGGATGGAAGTCGTTTCTTTCGATTTCATAACTTACGTTTCACCCATAACGATGTGATGACTTTAACGTTTGACACTGGACTGAGTGTGGAAAACAATCTAGAACAGCAATGAACCATAGTTAAGAGAAACTAACTATGAACTTGTTGTTGTTGTTGAACTTTATTTTGTAATCTTTCGAAAGAGAGATGTGCGGCGATAGTGAGCAACATTGTATACTAGTTGATAATGGTTGTGTTTTTTTATTGTTTATTCGAATACAAATATATGTATATTCCGATTTTGATCTTCTAGCTAGATTGATAAAAAACATATTTGGAATTAATAAAAAATTAAAAAGTCACTTTATTTGGATTTTGAGATTTTAGAATTTGTTAGTAGATATTGTGTGTGAATGCACAAATTTGTTCAGAAACTTATGATAAATTTTAAATTATGGTATTTGAAATAAAATATTAATTAAGGTCCACTATTTTGTATATAACATTTATTAAACAAATAATAAAAAAATTTTCACTATTGTTATATATTTAAATCAATTCTAATGTATTAAATATGTCGTAGTATTTAAAACACATACAAGTTTAGTACAGCACAATATCTGTCATTTTGTAAACTTCATCTCGAGCACAACACTTTTCATATTCTGGCCATGGCATAAACACTGTGCGATCATAGCCAATATTCAAACAATATGGAACCGATTTGTGCTGAACAGGTTCCCAATGAGCCGGTTGCAAATGACGATTATTAGGATCTGAGTTTTTAGCAAATGAATAAAAGGTTTCGATCATTTGGACAATACACTGATATTCCGGTGTATTGGCTTCTAATTTGTACGCATCTGGTAGCAGGAAAATATAACCCAATTCATCGACATGGCCGACACCTCGTACATCGGGTCCACAAAATCTCTGGCGATAGAAATTAAAATAAGGCGAATCGAAGTCAAAACGATACACATAGGTGGGTGCAGAGGCATATTTTAAACGGGATTGTATCAGGCGATGTTCATTGTGGTATATCATATTGTACGATTCATTCTGGAAACAATTTCAAAATTATTGATTTGTATGATTAATTAAAAAAATTTATAGATTTAAATGAATACCATTAGAGCCAATTGAAAATTTGCCACTGTTACTTCTTTATCTCCAAAATGTATATCTTTAATTTTGTTGCACAATTTTCGTATTAACTGTTCATCCTGCAAGGTTTTTAGATTATCTGCCAACAATAGCCGAGGATTCTTTTTAAACATTTCATACGTTTCGGGATTATTGTGAAATTTTTTATATTGAGCTAAAGCTTCGGTAGATGTGGAACCCATCATCAAGGGAATGTTATTACTCCAAGCCGATCTTTGAGCTATGGCGGGATTCTGTGTAATAATGCTGTCATCCATGGTTGGCCAACAGGGATACATTTTAATAATTTCAAATAATTGTTTTTCTTCTTCAGTAAATATATCAAAATTCACCAAGTTCGAAGCCTCCATTTTGCTTAGAAAATCACACAATGATTTTTCATCATCTTCTTGTCCAGCATAACCCAACTTTTTGGCTAAACGATATTGCCACTTGGGATGGGGAAATAGATCCATATGAAAACCAGCCAATAATATGGCCTTGTGGAATAGGTCCTTTGTAATGGGTGTCTGCATTAGCATATGGACCATATGGCTACCAGAGCTATGACCAAAAAGTGTAATATTTTCAGGATCTCCATTAAAACATAGACAATTATCTTGAATCCATTGCAGAGCCAAGACAGCATCCAGAAGAGCACAATTACCGGGTACTTCCAATGATTTGTCATTGAATTTAGTAAGACCTAAAAAAGGGAAGTGAAAATCAAAATATTCAAAATATAGTTATTACTATTCTCTTTACCCAATGCCCCCAAACGATAACCCACAGAGATAAGTATAACATCCTTCATCATAAAATAATCTGGTCCCCAGGCTCGTCGGGTGGAATCGCCTCCATTAAAACCGCCACCATGTAGATACACCATCACTGGCAGTTTGGGGTGTGTATGTAATTTCTTGACATTTATGCTAAGATAAAGGCAATCCTCTGATCCTTGTACCTCGTTGACACGTCCATTGAATTGTAGCGATTTATTCGGTTGTTTTGTACAGTCCTTAATACCTGACCATTTCAAAATGGGCCGTGGTGCTTTAAATCTATTTTCACCAACTGGTGGTTGACCATATGGAACTCCATCGAAATAATAGTATTTATCACCATATATCGTTTCCGCTAATTGTCCTTTAATTTTACCCGAATTTGTTTGAATTATGGGATTATCTGGGGAACTGTAAAAGGAGACATTAAGAGATATATTTTTGTGGTTAAAGGAAATATATATTAGGGTGGACCAAATCTGTTCAAAATGTAATCTCAATCAGACACCCGTTCGAAATATATATGGAAACTATGCCTGCATCTGCACCAATTTCAACAAACGCAATAAATTCATTCTAGCATCAACATAATACGGCTAGGATTCCATTTTTCTTTTTTTTGCAAAAAGACCATTTCGGGTAGAGAGGAAAAAGCATTACATATTTCAAATCTGGGGACTTTGAGCTTTACCAATTTTTCTGAATAAAATATATTTTTGAAAAATGTTATATAATATTGGCATGTGTTAAAATATTTACATGAAATGACGGTCTATTAAAGAGATGGAACTGGTTATTATAACGAAAGTGAAAATTATTAGGAATTAGTAAACCAGAATTTTGCGACCGTCTGCGACTGTTCATAAACTTAAGAGTTATTGCCAATATTTTGAAAATAATGGTTGAAAATGACAATGTAAAAAATTAATAAAAATTAAATTAAAATTGACAATTAATAACATTGCAAGGTGATTATAAAATTGAAGGATTTTAATCTCACCTTCAAACAAATTGGATGTAATTTGGTATTTTGAGCTCGCATTGTGCAGCACATATTCTAACAAAAATTATCAATTTGGTCCACTATTTGGGGTAGCCCCCATATAGGATTACCCCCAATTTTGTTTTTTTGTTGAGGATTTTTTTTGCTCGTTTTCCAAACTAAATTCCGTAATTTAGTATTTTTAATTCTCATTGAGTGTGAAATCTTCGTACCAATAATTATCAATATTGAATTAGGCGTCGGTGTAGGCCCCATATAAACGTATCCCCCTTCTGTGTTTTGGGAATTTTTTATCACGTTTTCCAACTAAATCATCGGTTTATTTCATAAACTCTCTGCTTTAATTATGACCAGAAAATTAGATCTCTGGCCCATAGTGCGTTGTGAAAAATTTCGTGTCAATCTGACAAAATATACTTTATAATACTTTGGTGCACTATTAACATAATATCGGAAGAAAGTAAATATGGGAGATATATTTAAATCTGAAACGATTTTCACGAAACTTAGCACACATCATTCTAGACTCTTAATTTAGTATTTTAATTTACATATATTTTTTCCAAGAATACATAATTTAGTCGTCGAACTCAATTCATTATTAAATAATTTTTGATTACTCTATTCAAAATCATTTATGATTTAATAATATCACATACCTCGTTACCATAGCTGCTAATTCCAATCTAATATTGCCTAAATATATTTAGCGACTAAATACTCTTTTGTTTAATTCGTAGATATACCACCCATTGCTGGCGAGCATTATCAGTATAAAAAATTTGGAAATAAGATAAGAGTGAGATTGAGAGGCGACATTGACCTTAATTGTAGTAGAAGCACATATAAATGAAAAACAAAAATATTAAACTGGTTTTATTCTTTAAATTAGAAACAATTATAATATGTTCTGACCTATATTTTATTAGATAAAAGTTCATTTAGATAAATTGGTTAGAATTTGGTTTTAAATAAACAATAACATTTTATACTACAATATTTTTATTTTACAATATTCAGCAGAAACATCTGAGAATGAGTTAAACCAACCAAAAACTGGACATTAGGCTCTTCTTTTTCCAAACTTAACATTCCCTTAACCTTATTGCAAATTTTCTGTTATCCTTTCAATCTTTTGTCCTAAGAGCCGTCTTTAACATTTCCATAGACTTGGCTCCTAAAAAGCGTAACTTTTGAACACAAAAGTTAAATTTCAAACATTTTAACTTGTGAACGAACAACTCTTCTTCCACGTCCTCGTCGTCGTTGTCATCTTCCTTTTCGCCTATGCAACGTCAAAAAAGTTTTGCTTAAAATAAAAACACAAATTAGTAACTATTAAAGATAAATGACAATATTGCAAAGTGCTATAATGTCACCGAACAAAATGCAATTCAATTTGCCATCATTTCAAGAACGTTGAAGTTTTGATGAATTTGCTAAAATTCATTTTAGGACGATTAGTTATTAAAATTTAATTTTGAAACTGAGTAATAAAAGTTGGCAATAAATAAATTAAAAATATGTTTTTACGTAATTTATTTTCCTCTAAATAGTAGAAATAATTACTTCATCATATTTCCCATGCGATTTTAGGATTTTATTCTGTCATTTGAAGCCACAAGGTCCATTTGTATGTGTTGTTTAATTTCAAAATATAGCCAACATTGAATTAATATATTACAAAAAATAGTTTACATTTATATTTTTTATTAATTTACACTCAAAAAAAGGTTTCCATTAAACTTAACATAAAATCCATTTAATCCATTTAAAAAATCCTATACTAAACTCCCCTCGGGATACATTTCATCCCAAACACAAAGTTCATTCCACTCGGGTAAAGCAATAAATTCACAGCGTTCATTTATATTCAGACAACGGATAGGTTTAGAAAATTCTCTTACTTCCTCCCACCGAACACCTGTAATTTCCTCACAATTTGGATTAGACGCCAATGCAAAATTATACCAAATCGAAATCATATTTTGCATCACTTTAAAATCTTTTCCTCCGACAGGCATTTTTCCACATAGAAAATTATAAAATAAATAAGACAAATCTTCACTGTGACATACTCCTTGCTTCACCGTGTCATCGCAACTTAGAGAACGATATGGATTATACCTGTTCGATTCATAATCAAAACGATAACAATAGGTCGGTGCATTATTTTCACCATATTTAGAGCGGGCTCTCATTGTCCGGAATATACCATGCCAAAACATTTTATGACCGAACATATGTAAAAAGTCGATTATATCTTCTGTAAAGTTGGGTTCTTTGTTTTTGAAATAAATTTCTCTTAGCTTCTCACCACATTTCTTGAGCTCCTCATAGTGGCGTGAATGTTGTAAGTCTTTAGGTAGAAAATTGACAAAATCACCCAAGCCATTGATGCAGTAAGGATGTTTTTTGGTCACCGCATGCACCAACAATCCCTCCGATGAGGTGCCACCAATAAGCAGTGGTATATCATTACCCCAAGCAGTGGCAAGTGATTCCATTATAGGTCTGCTGATAATACAATCCTCTGTGATATATGGTTCCACAACTGGTACAAAAAAGAATATAACATGATCCACCATCAGTTCCTTTGTCAATAGCGAGTGATAGTATAAACCCAAACGACGAGAATTTTGTTGTTTTAGATAATCGTAGACCTGCTTATCGTTACACTCTCCGCGATAGCCCAACACTCGGGCATATTTATAACCCCAATCATGACGATCCGTAATGGCCCAAGGGGCAAATGCTGAACCAGATTGGATTATAGCCTTGTTAAAGAGTCCCCTCAATCTGGGCGATAACATCATATAATGTATAGACGCTCCTCCGGCACTTTGTCCAAAAACTGTAATATTATTGGGATCTCCATTGAAACGATGTATATTCTCCTTAACCCACTTAAGGGCCATAACCTGATCTTTTAGTCCAGCATTACCGGGTATATTTAGTTGTGGGTCGTCGAAACATAAGAAGCCTAAATGAAGACAAAGTCTATAAGGCAATTTTATTAAATTTTGTTGGGAAATACTAACCAAACAGGCCTAATCTATAATTGAAGCTCACAAACACCACATCCTTTTGCATAAAATTATCGGGAGCGTATATTGCGTAGTCGCAGTGGCCTACTTGAAATCCTCCACCATAAATCCAGACCATAACGGGTAGGGGGTTTTCACTTTTGAACTGAATATATTAAATATTGAAAAATCATAATGAAGTCGATTAAAGGTTGCAATCGGTTGTTACAAAAATCTGTTTTATTATCTGAGAATCTGGTTTTCAAATTTAGGGATCCGGAAAGGTCTATCACAAATATATGTTATTTACGTATTTGGCATCATTTACACAACCTATACCCAAAGGCTTAGGATAAAAGGAGGATATTTTTTGGAAAAATATTTCTCATTCGTTTTGACTGAAGACATGTCATCTCAAAAATAACATACCATAGCCATTTTGCCTTTTTTTTTTGTGTTTTTTGTTTTTTTTTTTATGAATCAAGTATTGTCATGAGAGCTATATTAAAATCAGGAACGATTCCCACACACAAATGCACAAAATCTTCACATCACTATCTCTTATGGCCTTACCTTTTTTGTGTAGACATTTAAATACAAACAATCCTCCGACCCCTCCCACCACATTGTCTGTAAATTAAGTTGTACGGGTTTCGGTTTACAACTAAAACAATTCAGTATTCCTCGCCATGGTTCGGGTGGTTGTGGTGCTCGAAATCTTAAATCTCCCAAAGGCGGTTTGGCATACGGTATTCCCTCGAAGGCATAATACGTACCAAATTCGTTATAAATATTTTTACGTTGTCGCCCCTGTACCCGACCATATTTTGTAAGGGCAATTTCATGTTGCTCTGTATCTCCTAAATATTTGTTGAGTTTGTGTTTGCCATATCTTAAATTGGAGGAGATTTGAAGTAATTTAAAAAAAGGTGTATATCAAGTTTTACTTTGCAATTAAAACGGCCAGTTTCCCGAATCCTCGATCCAATTCCATTTGGTAGAGCTGTATTCCGCAATCTATGCCTTTGGACTAATTTCTTCCGACTGATACAATATATGAGCGTAATCAACAAGTATATGTTGATTTTGATGCAAAATTGGCATTTAGAAATAAAATTAAAAAAAAATGCATGAAAAAAAATTAAAAAGCCGGTATGCACACACAAATGAAGGTGATATTTGTGTGTGACAATAACATTAAAGAACATCGATTAAAAGTGTGTACACTTCAATAAAAGAAATAATGTTTGTATTTAAATGAATACCAAACAACTGGTTTTGTTTTATTCAGTATAATTATTTGGGTTTTATTAATTATTTTAAGTGTGTACGATCAAATGTGTATAATTTCACTTTTTAATAAGCTATACACAGCCTACATTTTGAGTTATAAAAACGTAATTAAAAATATAAAAAATATATACAAATATTTTGTTTCAACTTTTATATCATAATAAAAAAATATACATATTTCAACTTTTATATCATAATAATACAAATATTTTGTTTCTACTCTAATTTCCACTAATTCTTTGTCATTCATTTTTTTTCGTTTATTTAGCCGCGTCGTAGATGCTCTCCCACACTTCCAGTTTTTTCATTTCGGGCAAATCAATTATTGCCAAGTCTCGATTAATATTTAAACATTTGAGATTGCCAGCACTTGTCGCTTGATTTACCGGCAGCCAAGAACCATTCAACAGCTCCTTTTCAATGCGACAGCCATTGGGATTTGATTGCAGAGCAAATGAGTACCAAATGTCAACCATACGTTCAATGGTTTTGTATTCATCGGTCTCCGGGGATAGTTTCCACGAGAAATTGCCATAGAACAAGTACGAATGATCGTCGACATGTGCGACACCACGCATCTGTTTGCCACAGTATTTGATGCGTTGATGATTGAAATCGGGTGAATCGAAATCAAAGCGATACAGGTAGGTGGGTGCCGCTGTTGTGCGTGCCTTCTTTATAAAGCGTAAAATGGGATGCCAAATGATTTTGTATGATGCATACTGTAATTTAAGAAAATTTGGAAATTTTTGAAAATAAATGTTATTTTAGCTGTTGTAAAATTGGTAATATTAATATATAAAATTAGAATGAGTATATTTTGTGATATGTTTTCTATACTTCATGTTCGCTTTTTGAGATGAAGAACATCGTATATGTATTAGCGACTTGTTTTGGTAAAAATGTTCATATTCAGTATCTGTGTACTATTGCAAATGTAGATAATAAATATCTGATAATAAAATTATTGTTGTGATCCATATAGCAGATAGATTCATCATCTTACTTATCGTTGTATTTAGTGGAACATATTTTTCATTTTTTTTAAATGTAACCCAAAAATTTAAATTTCAAATAAATAATATATCAATAGAACACCATGCAACATTTTGTGGCAGTAACTTTACATATCGAAACCATGGGAGAACTGACCAAATGTTGAAAAATATTAGAACGTACTTAAATCTCAAATATTACGCATGCAACATTTAAGCCGGATTGACAAGACGCGACAAGATCATCGACATATTGTAATATAATTATATGGATTTATTTACTGATTATTTTATTTATTTAAAATAATATAATTAATTAGGGTTAAACGAACCATCCATATGTAATTAAGAAAACTGGATTTAAATCAATTGTATTCAATTGTCACACGTGGAGAACTTAACAACCAAATTTCTATAGCCTATAGCCTTTGGTACACCATTTACATTACATCGGACGAAAATATATATATGGGAGCTATGTCTAAATCTGAACCGATATTCACGAAACTTAACATACGTCATTATAGACTTAATTGAGTACGCTATGCCAAATTTCGTGTAAATCGAAAAGTATATAGGGACCATTTACCTTAAATCGGCCGAAAATATATATGGGAGCTATATCTAAATATGAACCGATATCCACGAAACTTAAACACATCATTCTAAACTTAATTCAGTACGCCATGCCAAATTGCGTGCAAATCGATAAATATATAGGGCCTTTGGTGCACCATTTACATTAAATTGGATTGAATATTTTTTCCAATTTCAATATGGTTCGTCCTTGGGCCAAATATATGAACTGTGCAAATTTCATCCAATTCGGATTATAAATGCGATCTGTACTTTGTTTATAATTAAACATGGTCAGACAGACGGGCAAGAGATTTAGATCTCTAACAGGTATAAATTATCATTACATAGCCAGTTATTGCAAGGAATTATTCTAACCTTGGGAGCATCTGTGTCTATTATTACGAGTATAATAAATAGCCTTTAATACCAAACATATAATGTATACATAAATTATAAATTACCTCACAATAACGCATAACATTCTCCATTGATGCTTTCTTATCGCCAAAATGTGTTGACTTAATTTTCGCACCCAATATCCTTTGCAAATCGGCAGGATATTTTGATTTCAACGATACTGGTAGGCAATGTTGTGGATTATCTTCCAATTCGGTGACCAAAAATTGTGCCAAATGTACTCGGGGAAACATAAGTAGGCCCTCACATGATGTACCGCTCATTAGTACTGGTATATGATTACCCCACGATTCACCCAACATTTCCTCCGGATGTTTACTTATGATACACATATCACTGTCATACGGTTCTATGCTGGGTCCAAACGTAAATAGATAGTCGTTGAGATTTTCTTCTTTCGTATTTACATAATGTTTAAGTAAATTTTCGCCGGGTTGTTGTTGTAAGTACTGGAAAATAAGTTTTTCATTGTCTGCGGGTCCTTCATATCCGCAGGCTTTGGCCAAACGATATGGAACATTTTCTAAATGCAAATATGCCCACGGACAGAGTATATTTCCGGACATTAAGATGGCTTTGTGAAACAGTCCCTTGGCCAGCGGACAACACATGAGGTAGTGGGCTGCTGCAGCCCCAGCACTTTCACCACTAAGAGTTATGTTATCGGAATCACCATTAAATTTGGAAATATTTTCTTTAATCCAACGCAGAGCTAGCAGTTGATCTTTGAAGCCATTATTGCCGGGTGCTTTCAATTCGGGATCTTGGAATTGCATGAAACCTGTAGAAAATGAAAGTTTTGTAAATAAAAATTAATAAATCCTTGCATTTAAATTAATATTTACCAAATGGTCCCAGACGATAACCAATGGTAACAAAAATAACATCTTTCATCATAAAATAATCTGGACCATGTAAGTCAACTGTTGGATCACCCTTTTCAAAGGCACCACCAAAGAGAAATACAATGACCGGCAATGGTTTCTCTGATTTTAGCTACAAACAAAAGAGTACAATCAATAGGTAAGTAAGAGAGTTTGATAACACACAATTGAGTAGGTTCTCTTATAAAAATCTCTTAAACTATGCGATTACGTTATGTGTCCACAAACCTGTTTGGCATAAATATTCAAATATAAACAATCTTCGCTTCCCTCAAACTGATTAGTCAGTATGTTTTTCTGTAGTGGCTTTATCGCTGGCCGAGTGCAATCCAGCACATCCGACCATGTCTCCTTGGGCTGTGGCGGACGGAAGCGCAACTCACCAACGGGAACTTCAGCAAAGGGAATTTTCTCGAAGCTATAGAACACATGACCGTAAACGCCCTCACATTGGCGGCCCTTAACGGGACCCAAGGTTGTGCTGACTATTAATTCACTGTAAATTTATCAATTATTTATTTGTTGATAAAATCAGTGGATTCTTCACTTCTCATGCTGTGTGTTATTGTACTTACCTTTCTGTCATTTTATAGCAAGTGGTTGGTTAATTACTTTAATTGATATTTCTCGAAAACACTGTCTATTTCTGGTTTCTGCAAATTTTTTAATTGTTTTATTATCAATTGGTGACAACTTGTGTGTTTGACGTGTTTGAATGCGGGTGCTGAATCGCTATTCGCTACGACAAATGGTTAAATAATTATTTTTCCGTATTCCGCGTTAACGCAGTTTGCAGTCTAGATACCAAATGTAGCCAATTCAGTTAGAAAGCAGAACGCCAGTACATGAAGATATTTATTATTATTTTGTACATTGTAAAGATATTATCGTGGACTCTTTGTCTCTCTTAAGGTTTCATCAGTGATGGCAAAAACAATTGGTTACCACAATACCGTACAATTGTACTTTTTGCAGTATTTTTTCATAAGATTTATAACATTGTTTTTCCTATTTGAACATGTGGTGTTGTTTGTATTTATTGCTGATTGTCTAGAAAACCAAAATTTTTATCAGAACCCATAATAAGGTAGTGAAAATACCCCTTCAATAAGTCTATTGAGGTAAAGATTTTTCGTTATTTGAATTTTGCCTTATAAGGGCAGTGATCATTTGAAAATAATTTTTAAGTGAGATATTTATACTCTTTCGAGTCGAGCTTAATAATCTAAGTTTTGAAATGAAAAGGAAAGCCAGGTGAAGAACCGAACCTACGTACCCACCATTATGCGACACGTTTCACCGTTGGTTAAGCGGCTCATCAGGTATATTGGGCTACGTGGCTTGACAGAGGTCGTATGTTGATAACTTGTATTTTTTTGTTGATAAAATATTCATATTGTTTTTATCAGATTTCCAAAGATATTATATACTTAAAATGCAAGGATTTCAAAATATTTACAAATATTGTAATGAATTTAGTTCCTGTTTTAAGTTACCCCCGATATTTTATAAGGTCGATTTTAGGTATCTATTTTAAGCCTCTTTTTCACATGCAACTGTTTTTTCTTGTTTATGAATGTTCTATAAACCGTACTATTTTCAGTACACCTCAATGCCAACATTGAACTTTGCAATTAGTATCTTAATATTGTGTTGCTCTCTTATCCAAATACAATTCCCTCATTTTACTTGCACTTAGGTATTGTTTTGTATTAGCTCGCAGATATTTTACAATACGCTCTCTTTTGTGTGCTACTCTCAGTAAAACGATAAAAAAACGGAGTGCATTCATCGCAATGGTCGATGATTTGTTGTTGTTTTCGTTTCTTCTCTACTATATTTTTATTTTGTTTTGATAATTTGTTGGGTTTTATTTATCGTCCATGTTTCGTAAACAATATCAGCTGTTTGGTGTCAATGCTCAGGCATAATAAGTATTAAGAGAGAAAATAAAATGTTTGGTGAGAATGGTCATTATATTTTAGTTTTAGTGGTTTAGCATTTTTGTTGTATCGTGCGGTGATATTGACATTGATTTTCTTGTTTAGTGTCTGGCATTAACATTCTTATCAGCATTTGAGAAACACACACACACGCACCGTTGTATTTGGCGGCAATGGGTAAATGAAATCTAGCGTAACATTGTCGTGTTCATATCTCGTAATTGTGGGTTTTATAAAACCCTAAAAATGGGTAGGTTTTTCCTAGTGATCCATTACGTTATCAAATCGTTGTAGTTGTTTTATGTGAACTATTTGAAGCTACTGTCGAATCTGCATAAATGAAATTAAACGGTTACTATTTACCATTTATTAATATTAATAAATAATTTTAAAATTTTAAATTTAAAACGTAAAATGTGTTGTCCATAATATTTAACTTAAGTTTCCATAAATTAAAAAAAAGAAAACTTAAGTTAACAATTATAAAGAAATTGGTGATTTATAAGCAAACATCTAAGGTTACTCCTTGGATAATTAAACATAGGCCAAGAGCTGTGGATGTTACGAAGGAATTAGACCAGGGATGTGCAGAGAGTGTGAGCGTAACTGAAAATTCATTACTAAAAACGGTAGATGAAAAGTGCAGTTTTGCATCTCGATTCCTTGGACTAAATCTCAAGATCGTTTCAGTCTCCTAGATATATTGCAATATCTAGTCAATCGATCATCAATCAATCGATGTTATATTTTGGAAAAACCTATTTGCATTTTAAAACCAAAATAGATAAGCAGATGAGCCCTCTTTATTGCAACTCCGGTTTGTTATTTTTGTACTTTTGTTATTGGACTACCACAACTAGGACATAAATGCTGAGTATAAAGCTTACCTTCTACATAATTAAAAATTAATTGTTTTTTTTTTTTAATTTATTAATAATGGTATTCGTTTTATTGTCCCCATTTACTAATATAACAGAATCATTAACTAGTTTAAAATAAATTGCCTGGTGTGTAAAAATCATTCCACTTTCTTATTTTTTCATGCGCTGGCAAAGTGTCATAGTCCAGTTTTTTGTTTATGATGAGACTTTTAATCGGTGCGCTGTTATCTGCGGTAACTGGTTTCCATATAACCGGTTCAATTTCATTACAATTAGGATCTGAGGTCAAGGCAAAATTATACCACATACCGATCAGACGTTGAATACATTTGTATTCTTCGCTATTTCGATTAAGGCCATCCGACAAGACAGTGTAGAATAAATACAGAACATCATCGGCATGACACACCCCACGAACTGAATTACCACAACTCAGACGACGAAAGTGATTAAAAAATATTGAATCGAAATCGAAATAATAACAAAATACTGGACTGTTGGGTGCGTAGTGTTGGCGAGCTTGTATGGTTCTTAAAATCGGATGCCAAAATGCTACATGGCCCTTGAGTTCGAGGTATTGTGAAAAATTATCGTTAAAATTTGGTTGTTTGCCATTGAAATACAATTTTTGTAGTTGTTGACCCATCGCTTTGAGTTTCTCTGGATCTTGAGACTGTTGTACATCGTTTGGTAACAGATTTACTAAATCACTTAAATCATTCATTAGGTATTTGTTGTATTTTGTGACATTGTAAAATAGAAGGCCCTCCGCAGAATTTCCACCCACAATAAGTGGAATGTGATTACCCCAGGCAGTAGAAAGTAGTTCCTTAAATGGTTTATCGACGACACAATGTTCCGTGTGATAAGGTTCGACAACTGGAGCAAAGTGGAAAAGCATATGACTCATATGTTCATCTTTGCTCAAATATTTTAAATCGTGAATGGTTAAACTTTTTGAAGATTTCGTTTTCAAAAATTTATAAATATCTTTGTCGCTACTGTCGCCATGATACCCGAATTGGCTGGCTATTTTGTGGGCCCATTTATGATTATCCGTAAATGACCAGGGGCACAAAAACGAACCAGATTGTAAGATGGCTTTGTGGAAGAGACCCTTAGTTTGGGGTGTAGACATCATCAATTGTGTTGAGGCAGCCCCAGCACTTTCGCCAAAAACGGTAATATTATTGGGATCGCCATTGAAGTTGTGAATATTCTCCTTAACCCATTTCAAAGCCAATACTTGATCTTTAAGACCAGCATTACCGGGTATATTTAAATCCGGATCATCGAAACAAACGAATCCAAAAATGCCCAATCTATAGTTGAATGTTACCACAACAACATCTTTTTGCATAAAATAATCAGGAGCATATAAATCCCAACTAGCTTCACCGACATTAAATCCTCCACCGTAAATCCAGATCATGACGGGTAGTGGTTTGGGTGTATTAAACTGTAAATCAATAAATATAGTGAATTTAAATTATAAAATTTTAAGGGACCTACCTTTTTGACATAAACATTCAAATACAGACAATCCTCGGAACCCATTATCATTTTGGTTATATAGTCGTATTGCATGGGTTTCGTTTTAATATGTAGACAGTCCCTTACATTTTTCCATGGCTCAGGTGGTTGTGGTGCTCGAAATCTCAGCTCACCCAGCGGAGGTTTGGCATACGGTATACCTTCAAAGGAGTAGTAGATGTCATATTCTCGATAGACGTTTTTACGTTTACGGCCTCTAATCGAACCGCCAGAGGTTTTTGTGGTAACAAAATGATTTGTGGCTTTATTGTAATAATGATATCGATGAGCTATGAATCTAAAGAGGGGGAGAAATGTAAATACAAAATTTAAATTTTTTTTGATTTTAGGCATTACAGCAGTTCATAGAATATTTATACTTACTTTAGAACTATTTTAAGTTTGTCAATTGGTCCAATGTACACATCCATTTTATATAGTTATAAATAAATGTGGTAATAGGAATTGAATCAAATCTATATGATAAATAAGTAAAGAAGAAACGTTAAAAGAAAAACTGTAGTTCCTGTCCTCTTCGAAGTCATTAGTGATATATAAAGTAGGCTATCCATTTTGTGTATTTTTTAATTTCACATAAAAACTACGTGACCGGAAGTCACATAGTGTTTTACTTTATATGTTCAGATGTCCAATGTTGGAGACCATGTTATTTTTTATAGAATTTAATAATTTTGCAAAAATACATCACTAGTAAAGGTATTCTGCACATTTTACATAAATGCGATGAAGGTATTTTATTTATTTTTTCTATTTTGTTACTTTACACATTTTAGACTTATACCAGTTTTTTTATCGTTATTTAATTCAATTATTTTTCTTTATTTAATATGTGGTTTGGAAACAATTATTCCGTTCGAGTAATACCTTTCGTTTGAAATGTTTTCAAGTAACTGTTGAATTATTTTCCGTTTGTATTTCAAGTGTTGTTATTTTTTTTTATTTGACTGGACTTAGCAGCTATGATTGACATAAATTAATTAATATGATGGGTTAAAACGCCTTAATTATTGGTCTTTTTAATAATGATGTGATGCTACAAAATGCAATTGTAAAATTGTTATTATCAGGAAAATTAATACACAGTCAGAAATTATTTAAATTTTATTAAAAAGCATTTATTAAATACGAAAAATCGTAGGTTAATATTATTATCAACAAAAACGCCAACTAAATCGAGATATTGAGAATTAAGTGCATGAATAGGGGATATGGGTTCCGTTTGATTTATTTGTTATGTCAAATATATATATTTTTTAAGTGTATGTAAGTCTGTTAGTATATTATTATTGTTTATACAAACACCAATTTATAAATACAAATGTTTTATTAACACAAAGTAAATTCTATCAATTAAACAAGTAGCTTTTGCAAAATACAGATATATTGTATATTTAATATTGTTGTCTAAGATTTAAAACGTGTTTCAGGACTGCAGTTTGATATGCATTGCAACATAGTTAAATTAGAATACTTTATCCAGTATCAAGGTAAAACTGCGGCAAACATATTATTAATTTAGTGCAAAATATTAGGTTGGGGAAAAGGAAATCCATAATTTTTATATGAACTATAGAACCTTATTTAACATGCTTCGGAATGTCCGATTTGGGCCAAATATGCGCCGTTTTGTTGTATGATTTGTTGCCTCTCTCTCATAGAAGTCCTGCTCTTTATTTGCAAAAAAAACTCTAGCAGTTGATTTTCACAATCCTCGCGAGATACCAATTTTTTATCATTAAAGAAATTTTGCAATGCAAGAACAAGACGATAATCGCCAAGTCCGGACTGTATGGCGGATGCATTAGAACTTCCCAACCAAGCTCCCGAAGTTTCTGGCAAGGCACTGTAGCTGTGTGTTGCCTAGCGTTGTCCTGGTGGAGCAGGACACCTCTCCTGTTGGAAAATCTGTAAAATGTACCGACTATTTTCTTTGTTTAGTTCAATTTTTAACACCCTGTAACTCACAACTGAATGCACAAAAAACAGCAACATATTTGTTTACTGCGAAATGTCACCCTTCCAACGACCATAACTCTGAAATAGTTGAAACTGTTCGATAATTTACGAGAAATCTTTCAGTACAGCCATCTGCCGAAAAAATGGATTTATTCTTCCCCAACCTAATATAAATTAAATTTCCTTGGCAGTTTTTCATTTGTTTATATCGGTGCTTCGATTTAATATAAACTCCACCATAATCAACAATATAATAAAGTACATTTAAATTGGAGATATGTTAATTCCTGCACTAATTCCATCCTAATTATGTTTTTACATGATGAACATAGACTTAGGTTATTTGTTTAATTATAGTTTTTATTTAATTGAATAAGGAATTCCATTGGTACAAAATTAAATATCACTAATTTAACAGTCTTTTCATATTTTTGACCAGTCCCAAATATATCGAACCTAACTATATATTAATAGCGTTCGCTCACAATGTTCCTTAAGCAACGTTTTACCACTATGTTAAAAAAAGAAATGTAGTATTTTGGTATTATTTTCACACACTATTTACATAAAACATATCGATCTAATCCTCACTCCTCGAATGGAATATTTGAGGAGTTATTTATCGGGATTTTTTCTTCAAATAAACAACAACTGCCCAATCACTATTGTTAATATAAATAAATATATGTGCCAAATAAGAGATTATTTGATATAAAATTCCGACCAACATTGCATTTGTTTTCGAATTGGCAATTGATTCATTGAAACCTTGTCTGATATAATTAAACAATTAACATCATTCGATTCCTCCTCCAAAGTATTCCAAATAATGGGACTAATTTCATAACAATTTGGATTAGAAAATAAAGCAAAATTATACCACATACTAATCATTTTCGCCCTACAATCTAACTCTAATTCAGAAGATAAAAGGGTTCTTGAAACGATATTTCTAAATAAATAACAAACTTCATCACCATGACCGGCTCCCTTGATTTGAGGATTACCGCAAGAGAACATGCGTGAAAAATTACCCTTGGGCGATACAAAATCGAAATAGTAACAGTAGGTGGGAACGTTCTTAGCATAATTGGAGCGTGCTTTAATGGCTTGATACATCGGATGCCAAAACCCTTTGTGGCCCATTATCTCTAGATATGTGGAAAAATCATTTTCAATATTGGGATATTTTTCTTTAAAATATACTTCCCTAAGATTGTGGGCCATTTTCTCTAATTCTTCAGAACTATGACAATTTTTGGCTTCATTTGGCAAAAAGTGTTTTACATTTTCAGAATTTCCATATAAATATTTATGGTGTTGCAGATAATAGTAGTAAAACAAACCCTCAGCGGAATTACCACCAATAACAACGGGAATTGAATTACCCCATGCTGTGGATAACAATTCGCTAGGTGGCTTCGTAATTATGCTATCATCGGCCATATATGGTTCTGCAACCGGAACAAAAGCACAAAATAAATTATTTTCCAATATATCGTTGTCGGTTAAAAGGTCTCTCAGTTTGGTTGTAAGGCGTTTGGATTTCTGTTCTACCAGAAAATTATAAACTTCTGCATCAATATTATCTCCTGTGTAACCCAAATGGCAAGCTAATTTATAACCCCAATCATGTTTATCGGTAAAACCCCATGGGCATAATGCAGATCCAGATTGTAGTATGACCTTGTGAAACAGACCCTTGGCCTGGGGGCACATCATTAACATATGAGCGGAAACAGCCCCCGCACTTTCACCAAAAACTGTAATATTATTCGTATCTCCATTAAAATTGTGTATATTTTCCTTTATCCATTTTATGGCGAGAAATTGATCTTTTATACCAGCATTACCGGGTACATTAAGTTTTGGATCATCGAAACAAAGGAATCCTGAAACGAAAGAATATATTAATGGTTGATATATTAATATGTAAAGGAAGTCTTACCGAAAACGCCTAGCCTGTAATTAAATGTTACCACAATGACATCCTTCATCATAAAGAAGTCGGGGTTATATAGATCAGTTGTGGCCTCACCATATTGAAATCCGCCTCCATATATCCACACCATTACGGGTAAAGGTCGCTTAATATTTGTGCTCTTTAAATGGAAGAAATTAAAAAGTAAATTGATATTCACATACAATATTAAATATATAGTGTAAAATTAACCAGTAAAGAAAGTTCAAAAGTAGGACGGGGGAGCTATGTCTAAATCTGAAACAAATTTCATCCAAATCGGATCATAAATGCGACCTGTACTTTGTTTGCATAAATATACTCAGAAGGTGATACTACGTATATTCTTAATATTCACAAAGACATAATACCCTGTACCACAGTGTGAAAAATCAGGTATGAGACAAAAGTAGCAAAATACATTAGAAAATGAAATACCAGATTACAACCACACCGTTCTGAAAATGCCTCTAAGATCTTAAAAGCCGAGTCTATATAAACTAATTAAATAAAAAAGACTAATTTACATGAAAAGGTGTTTACCCTCTCAGAGTCCAAATGCCAAGTTTCGAAGTAAGAAGCCTTAAAAATATTAAAATCGGCGGTTGAAATATCAAAACTCGGACCTTTATTAAAATGTTTCTACAATGAAGCCAGTCCGTCCACAAGATTGAATTATGACAACAATCTTGATAATAATTTGAAATTGAGTTATATGAACATTTGTCTCATTGTCATTTCTATGGCATTCAAAGGGTCGACTTTAGTCCACGAAAATAGCGTACCTGCATGTACTTACCTCTTTGACGTACACATTAAGATACAAACAATCTTCGGAACCTTCATTAAATCCAAATAAACCATTTAATTGACATGGTTTTGATTTTGTTCGAGTACAGTTAAGTATACCCTGCCATGGTTCCGGTGGCTGTGGGGCACGAAATCGTAACTCATTTAGCGGTGGTCTGGCAAATGGTATACCTTCATAGGCAAAATAGCACTGCTTCGAATCACACGAATTCAAATGTTTAATTCCCTTGACTTGACCGTACGATGTCTTTACAATTCTATATTCATTTGTATTCTGACGCAGCTGACCAAGTTTATAATTTATGTAACTGAAAAATTGAAATTAATTTGAAATAGAATATTTCTTTGGTAAAATTAAAGTTGCGATATTTTCGATGTAAAAATAAATACCTAAAAGCATTTTGAATGTGCTGATAAAGACTAGTTTTGAATTCCATTTTATATCTTTTGTTTTTTATTTTCAATTGAACCGTTTTGCGTTTTAAACACCGCAATGTACGATCGACACTTTCGAACTGATTAGAGAATGTGTGGCCGAGTAATTCTCAAAATTGTATGCATTTTATGCTAGGCCGTTGTTTTGTATTTTGCGATTAAAACGGGTATTCGCATTAACAATTTCAATATAATTGTTTATTTTTTAATGTAATTTACCTTAAACATTTATAGCTAATATACGTTGTGTTTTGTTTTTTTTTTTTAGCATTTATGAAATTTGTATTCGTTAGTCGACGCCAGGTTTGCGCCTGACAGTCGAATAATTAAATATTAAAGTCATGCGTTTATTTCAATTTGCAGCGTTGAGTTTATGAATGGTCGAATTCGTTAATTGGCCATTTCACTCGCTCTCATTGCAATGAGAATCACTCAATATTTTGTTTGTCTATTTGAGTAGTTAATGTGTCTAAAATTAATATAATGTGTATGTACTAGTCGAGTAGAGGTATATCGGATACGTGACAATGAATTATGTTGTAATTTAATTTAGTATTTTGATATTTTAATGTTGTAAACATGCGATCTCAATAGCTATGTATTCATTCGATTTCGATGATCCAGTTCATGTTATCATATGCGGTGATTCCGCGATTAATACTACGGAGAATGTAAGGAGTTCAAAGTTCCACCTAACAGAACAACATGTTATTTTTTTTAATAAAAATCTCAATATTTGTATCTTACAAACAAATATTATATTTAATTAAGGAATTATTTTTATTGATATGAAAATAGTTTTCTAGAAATCACACTTTGTTGTTTTGTTTTTGGCAAGTTTCAAATATCACTTAAATTTATCTCTAATACAAGGGTTCTTTGGTATAGAAACTATCCCAGACAGTTAATTTATTGTACATTGGTTCATCCATAAATTCAATGTCATCGTTAATATTCAACAATTTCAAAGGTTTATTTGCTTCAATTTCTTCTGTCGTCACTGGTTCCCATTTTGTTGGTGAAATTTCCCTGCAGTTTGGATTGGAGGAGAGGGCGAAATTGTACCACATACCAATCATACGTTGTATACATTTGTATTCACGTGTTGTGGGCGACAATTTTTCGGCATTGATGTTGTAAAACAAGTACGACAGCTCATCGGCATGACATACACCCTTAACCGGACGACCACATTTCAGATTACGATAATGATTAAAGAATTTCGAATCAAAATCAAATTGATAATAATAGGTGGGTGCTTGTGAGGCATATGCAGTACGGGCCTTGACCGCCCTATGTATACCATGCCAAAATGTCCTTTGGGTCATGAGTTGAAAATATTCGTGGCATGTCTCCTTGGCATGCGGTTTCTTATCACCGAAATAGAGATCTCGTAATTGTTGACCCATCACTTTTAGCTCTTCGTGGCTATGGGATTTCTTCAAATCATCGGGTAATACATTTACAAAATCACTCAACTCATTAACTTTGTAAGGATGTTTGACTGTATCGCTATAATGGAACAAACCCTCGAAGGAGTTGCCACCAATCATCATTGGTATGTCATTGGACCAGACATTAGAAATCAGCTCTTTAACAGGTTTATTTATAACACAGTCTTCCGAATCGTAAGGTTCAATGACTGGACCAAAGGCGAAGAGCAGATGATTAAATAGTTCTTCTTTTGTTAGCAGTGATGAGTCTTTCGCCACCAAGCGTCTGGGATTTTGTTTGGCTAAGTAACGATAAACTTCCTTATCGTTATTGTTGCCCTTGTAACCGATGTGGCAAGCCAAGCGATAAGCCCAGTTTGTGGGATTATTAAAGATCCAGGGACAAAATGCCGTACCAGATTGTGCAATTGCCTTGTGAAACAGACCCTTGGTGCGTGGTGTCAGGCACATCAAGTGTGTGGAACCACCACCAGCACTTTCACCAAACAGTGTAATATTATTGGGATCACCATTGAAATTGTGTATATTCTCTTTGACCCATTTCAGGGCCATTATTTGATCTTTTAAGCCAGCATTGCCGGGAATTTGTAAGTCAGGGTCATCAAGACTCAGGAAACCTGGAAAATAGGAAAAAGGTTGTTTTATTTAATAATGGTAAAAATCGAATTATTCTTACCGAAAACGCCCAAACGATAGGCGAAGGTAACCAGTACCACATCACGTTGCATAAAGTAATCGGGAGCATAAATATCGCGGGATGCCTCGCCAATTTGGAAACCACCACCATATATCCATACCATAACGGGCAGGGGTTTGCTGCTGGTCAGCTTTAAAAAAAGAAAATAATGAATTAATAACTTTTAATTCAATGCAGATAAATATAATTCGATTGATTATATTTTAATGATGTATCAGCAGTCAAAATAATGTGCAGGTTGAAGGGATCAAGTTTTTCCATAAATCTACTCTAATAATTACTGACTTGTGCGTTAGTCATTTTCTTTAAGCCACACATTTGCTTAACATACAACTTAAACCATTATCTCAACTATCTACTATTTAATGTTTTAACATACACGAACACATACCTTCTTGCTGTAGACATTTAAATACAAACAATCCTCGGAACCTTCAATCATCCGTCTAACAAAATGAAATTGCATTGGTTTTGATTTGTATTCGGTACAGTCCAGAACATCTTGCCATGGTTCCGGCGGTTTTGGTGCTCGAAATCGTAATTCACCCACAGGCGGTTTGGCAAACGGAATGCCTTCAAAGGCAAAATATGTATCTTCTTCGTCGTAGAGAGTTTTACGTTTCAATCCTTTCACTTTGCCATAGGAGGTATTGCAGATTTCATATTCTTTTGTGGCCAAACGTATCTGCTGTGTTTTGTGTGCTATCAATCTGTAAAATTATAAAATGCATTAATTGAAATCTATACAAATTGTTCAAATGTTGGTATATATTAATAAACGTAATTGAAATGTATACACATTGAACAATCAATATTGTTGAATAATGAGAAGAAGATATTCAATAATGTTATTGATCTGAAATAAGATTTTCTGTGGGTGAAGAGCGACTTAAATTGGAGGAACCCTATTGCTCATCGTGGAGAAAATCATAATTTTGACATTCCGGGTTCGTTTTGATTTAAATGCACTTCGTATTGGTGTAGAATCAAATGTGAGGTATGCCTATTTAAAATACTATACTATAATTTTATTAATTACTAGCGGGCCCGGCAAACGTTGTCTTGCCTTAACAATATTGTTAAGAAATAATTTTAAGTATTTCAGATTTGTTTTTCCTTTTGCTTTTTTTTATTCATACTTGCATAAACAATTTTTCTGGGTAAGAGATATATTTCGCCATATACCGATTTTGATCGTTACATTGGAAGCTATAGCACACACGCAATAAATTTGAATAATGTCATAGCATACTGAACTGAGTCTAGAATTATGATGCACTAAGTTCCGTAAAAATCGGTTCGAATTTAGATATACTTGCCATATATAGTTTCGTCCGATTTTACGTAAATGATGCACCAAAACCCCTATATATTTTTCGATTTGAATGAAATATGTCATAGCGTACTGAACTTAGTCTAGAATTATATGTGCTAAGTTTCGTGAAAATCGGTTCAGATTTGTATATAGCTGCTATAAAGACCCAAAGTTTGTACGATTGACACACAATTTTGTACAATGTACTGAAGTTAATTTACATTAATTTCTGGCAAGTTACGTTGAAATCGTTTCATATTTAGATATAGCTCGACACGAAATTTTGCACTACGTATCAAATTGACTCTTGAATGACGTTATTACGTGTTGTTAAAATTAGCGCAGATGCTTCCATATATATTTCAAACGGGTGTCAGATTAAGATTAAATTTTGAAGAGTGCGGCCTACCGAACATCAAGTTTGCTCTACATCGATTTACTTAAATTAGTCCCATTGTACTCAAACGACTCTAAACTTTCCCGAATGAAATTAAATTTAGCATAGGTTCCAGAAACGCATAAAGACCACATATTCAAGTTCGTTCAATTTCATGAAAGTGTTCTTTCGAAAAGGTGACGTCTGTTAGGAGACATATGTAGAATATATCCAAAGTGGTGAAGGGTATCGTATAGTTGGCCCCGTCTGACTATACTTCTTTCCTTTCTGGTTTTACCTTCTAATTGAATTCGTATTTCGCAGTAATTTTATATTTTGTTGAAAATGTACCTATCAATATTCACGAAAGCTTCTGAATAGACCCCATACAATGATACTCCACATTATTCGATGCGTTCGGAGGTTTGGCCAACGGTACCCGCAATATTCGGCATTTTGGGGAGCTTCTCTTAGCAAAAATTATCAATATTGGTCCAAGTTTTCAGATAGCCCGCATATATGTGTTATTCCCCTTTGTTCGGCATTTTCTCATGTTGTGTCAAATCTTCCTACCAAAATTTCACATTATAGTTGCTGCAATATGTCATTGACTGGATGGATATTAGAATTAAAATTCTCTGAATGGACACAATCTCGATTCCGAATGTCTTCTAATTTCCAATTCTTGCATTGCCCCAATAAATTCGTGAAACGTGTGCATTCAATGATATCCTTCTGAATTGTTATTATTTATTTATTTTTTTTTTGTATTCTCACCTAAAATATTTTCAATACAATGACAATCGAATTGAAAAAAAAAATAAAATAAAATATGTACATACTTTGAAAATTTCAAAAAAATTGACAATGCTTCATAATATTTTTTGCAAATTTTTCGCGGTTTTCGATTATTTCTCACCTTTTAAACCTTCCCTGAAGCTCCACGAATATTTCAACTAAGATAAGAAAAATCCGTTCAGCCGTTCTCGAGTTTTAGCGAGACTAACGAACAGCAATTCATTTTTATATATATAGAAGACTAATTTTAATAACAACAACTCACAGTATATATAAAATTTACATAGAACCCAACTTTGACGTATAGTATACAAACAAGTTTTAAATTTCATTGTGACATTTTGAAATTTGTCGTTCACAAAAAATATATTTTATTTTATAGAAAATTATTGGTACAATTACACATAATTAAATCTTAAAATTCATAATGTGCCCGTTTAATGGACGAAATCAAAATCATAATGAGATCAGCAATACCGTGTCCAATCAACTTATTATCGATACAAATCAAGATGATACAGTATCCAATGAAAATATTTTAGAACCAAATCAGGAAGATTCTCCCATTACAATACGCATTGAAGTACTAAGGAATGGCAATGAAGAGGGAGAAGAAAACGCGGAAAATGTAACTGTGGAGGGCAATGAAGGAAACGCATTGAGAACCGCCGAAAATAATAGTAATAATGCAAGTGAAAATGAAGGATCTCATGTAGAATCTCGAAATCCATATTTACATTTGAATGGAGAATATTATAGCAGTAGTGACATAGATGGTGTTCATCACAATTATGGTCGGCGAAATTATCAAAGGAGAAGAAGAAACCACAGACGGAGACATCGTAACCGTGAAATTTACAAAAATTTAAGATCCATTCGAAGAATTATGGCTAAAACTCTATCAGCAATGAGAAGAATAAAATCTTTGATACGGCTTTCCATGTAAAAAGATGGGGGAGATCGATCATGACAGCTTAAATCAAATTGCAATTCAACGTATTTTTATTGCCTTCATTTTTTAAATTCCATGATAGGTTGAAGAAAACTGTGATTTAACAAACCTCTAGTCTGAATAGTTTTTATGTCTCTTAAATACCTTTTATATGTGTAGATTATCTCCATCTTGTGGCAATGTAATACTGTGCATAATAACACAATGTTATTATCTGAATAAATATTAAGTAATAAATTTATGCAATCAATAAACAATAAACTATTTCCATATAGAATCAATTATAAGGCATATAATCAATGTGTTACCTCCCGTTTGTAACAAGACATTTTAAAACCAGTGAGGTAAGTTCAAAAGTCGGAAGGGCCGACTATATGATACTCTTCACCACTTCGGATACAAGTGTGATCTACTTAGATATTTGAAACAATTAAGAACCCATACACATACCATTCTGAAATCTATGAAAAATTACATTTCAATTCGATTCTATTCTGTACCATTTGTATAAATGTGGAAGTCCCCATCCCTAATGTCCAAATGCTACCATCTATTAATCTAGGGCATCAGAATCGGAAACTTTTGCAGAGTTTCATTCCGAATTCGGGAAAAATTGTTAGTTGGGTGCTCATTTTTTATAACGCTGTATGTATGAACACCTCAATTATTATAATAATATTGCAATTAATTTATGTATAAAATCTAAAAGCAAAACAGCACTACAACAAACAACAATAATTATAACTGCAAATACTACAACAAAGTGCTTTGTCATTTCAATATAATGAGTGAAATATTTATTTATTACGCTTTCAGTTTTCTGCTGCTGTTGTTGTTTTTGTTGTCGTATAGAAATAGTCATGTTGTTGATCTGTTAACCTTTGAAATGTGGACTTATTGTAAATAGAGAAACAGACAGATGTACAAATTACAATGTTTATAGTAATATGTAATGTTGTGTGGGTTTTCAATTGAAAGGGGAAGTGTTTTGATTTTTGGTGTATTCTAAACAATGAGTTAATATATTTTTATATTTAGTTATTTTATTTGGAAATTTGTAGAAAGATTATGATGTACAGCGTGCTACAATTTGTTTTGCTCTTTAGACTTGATACACATAAACAATTTGTGTGCGATTTTTTAATTTCTGAGGCACTTAATTTAATTTCTTTTTTTATTTTCTAAATTACCTTAGGTTAAATGAATTTGAAAACAAACAAAAACAGTTTGATCATAAAAAGTCATAAAAGAGATTGTATTATCCATTGAAAGCTATTATATCGTAGGCTAACTTTTTTTGAATAGTTTAAAGAAATTCAATTAAATACTTTGTAAGCAGAATAAAGTGCAAACTTTTTCATAAGTTTTATTGTTTAAATTTTATTATTTAAGTGTATCACCTTTTCTGGTGACTATAAAAAGTTTAAACACCAAAGTTCAAGTGCTCTAATGTCACCCTATTTTTCAATTCCATTAATTTCATATCAATTATTCGTAGATTAAAAACATGCAAGATTATGTTAAAAAACCCATAATCAATTATTCGTAGATTAAAAACATGCAAGATTATGTTAAAAAAACCCATAGTCGCACAAATTTGTACACTAGTGTAATAAAACAAAAATGTAGGCATTGCAACAATTATTACTTTCAGCTTGATTACCAAGCCAAAAAAACCATTTTGATAATTTTCGTTTTATTTTGTCTACATCGTTTGTGGTCAACATTTATGAGATTAGAACAAAAATGCAGTTCATTTTACGATACTCTTATCAACTACATAAGAAACGAGTAGCATGAGTGTGATAACAGTGAAAAAAAAACTCTCACGAATTTTTTAATGGCGGCTAAACCATTAATACCGAAGTGTATATTTTCTAACACCCAAAATAATTCATTTAAATAAGTTCATGTTCCTGACCGTTTCTGGTCTATTGTAAATGTTTTTATGGTCGATTTTTAGCTCCTGAAAGGAATCTAAGAATCCAAAATTGCACAAAATTTGCTGTTGCATTATCGGAACCATAAACACCATTCAAAATTTTAGCCGCTTGGATTGTATTTTTTTAAAATATACCGAATTTTCGCTTTGTTCACTTTAATTTTGAACACCTGCACAAAAACAGCAAAATGTTTTTTCACTTATAAATGACAACCTTCCATCGAGCATAAATCTGAAATTGCTAGATCGATACTTTACGGGAAATCTATCCCCAACCATATATTGCGAGCTTATATACAAAAAATTGAATATATAGTCCATTTTACGATTTAAAATAGCCTTCAAGAGACACGAAAGCTATTGTGGCAACCGTGGCTTCGATGAAAAATTAAAATCTATCTTTTGGAGCTCATACCTAACATATCATACCGAGGAAACTTGGTTTGTTTGTATGCACTTTTTATGATTAAGGAAATTCATAATTTTAGTATCACTTTTCCAAGTTATTGAAATTTATTATTATTTTTTCATTTTATTAAAATTTCATTCTATATTTCTATGAAATTTATTTGTTTACAAAATGATCAATGTTTACTATTTTTGTCCATGCAAAACAAAAAAACTCTCTTCGTTATTTTTTTAATTTCAACATTTCATGAAATTTTATTACACCGTCGATCTTGACTTACTTTCCCAATAATTTAATGAGATCAATTGCACCAATATTTATATCCATTTTGCTAGTTAATTATTCTTAAGTTAATCACCACAATATTATTTGGCAATTTTTCCTTTATATCCGAGCGAGAATGTGCTACGCCGCTATTTAAAACACACCTCGTTGGTTAATCACTTTTAAATGGACTGCTTTTTTAGAGAAAATATAGACGTACAGAAGAAAACACAAAAAAATCGCATTTCATTCTGCCTCAGTGTAATCCATTATTATTTATATAGTCGCAAGTGAATGTGTATACAAGGGTGTGCAAGTGTGTGTGTATCACATCCACACATGTCGGGGTTTGTTTGTAAATATGTACAAAGGTTTGTTGTGTTCTTTATCGCTGTTGTTGAAATACAAACAATTTTTGTTATTGTTTAGTTCTTGTTGTTGTTACTTTTGTTTTCATTATTTTCCCCGTTGCCTGCCATTCGTGGGGTAGGCTATTTGCGAGCATTAATTATACTCCACGACATCAACGGTCGCTTGGCCTGCCTATAGAATTTAATCGTATTGATAATTCAACGAATACCGTTATAAACGAATAATAATCAACGCATTGATCCGGCACTGGGTCGCGTATATGTTCCACTGGCACACGAACTTGATGGGTCTGTCGTCCATATTTTGAATATGGAGAAAGAATGGGAAGAGAGCGTACGATAGCATTGCCGGCAACTTTATTTTTCTGCTCAATACTCACAGGCAATATTTAATGGCTGAGTAAGTGTGTGTGTGTACGAGTATTTGTGTGCTTTCCACTTGTGCTAAAATAAGTTGTATAGGTCGTATACGTACGTCTTCTGTCGTGTACTGTATACGACAAAAGTGAAGTATGTTGTTGTTCCGATTGCATTTATCTGTGCTATAATTGTAGTTCTAGAGATTCTGTTGGAATTTTACGATCAACGTTGTTTTTATCTTCGGTCGCTGTTGTTGTTGCTGTTCGTATTGACGTAATTTCATAGAACTTCGAGGTGACGTTTTTATTGTTGTTGCTGTTTTGTTGATATTACTGCCGGTCACTTTATAGGTTCTAGTTTAATTTTAGTTTTGTTTACTAGTTGTTGTTTTTGTTCTACATTACAAGTTCAGAGAGATGTACAGTGTTTCAAAAGGGATTTATATTACATATTTTTATTAATATTCTCGTATTCGTAGTCAGTGCAGTACTAACATGGAGGAGAAATTATGTTTGTTTTTCTACTTAACCCAACGGTCAATAATGAAAAAAGTATACATATATCAATAACCGTTGTACATTTGTACCCATCCAAATATAGCGCTGTAGTTCATTTAAAAATGAGACCATCATCAGGTTTTTTGTGTTAAATTAGTCCATGCGGATCTGACCTTGAATGAGGAACTCCAAATTATATACATTAAAGGAATATTTTTTTAAATCCTTGTTAATTGATAATCTATCTAAAATAATTATAGTAATTTGGTTATAGCTTCCGATTGGGTTCATTTTTTAATTATTTTTATAGGGATTTTATTTGGGTGTTCCCCAATCCCTCTGCCAATTTTGGGACCAACATGGGACGTTCAATGCGACTCGTAGATGTTAACAACTACCTTGGTTCCTTTTGATTCCTCAAAATTTGATCCGAATATCTGCACTATTACAAATTATACAGCATTTTTATTCAAAAAAAGGTACAAATGTACCCGATTATCGATCGTGTGGTTAAATACGTATTTAATATTATTGATTGTATGTTAGTTCTTCGATTTACATTATAATGAAATAATTTCACCAAGTCTATTGAAAATATTTATGATCTATATGCTGTCCTAGACTGTGATATTATATCATATCCGTGAGAATGTGAATATAAATACACTTCGACTGTATGTCTTTATATGACTTTATATTCGGTTTTGTAATAGGTTGAAAAACTGTGTCGATAACTGCCCAAGAAATCGGGGTCGAAGTTGGTGAAATTTTCGAGAGTCTGAAAAAAATATCTGACATTGATAAATTTATTTGAACCCTATTTTATAAAGTATTAAAAAAAAAAATCTTAATCTTTTTATATATATTTCCATATACCCTCTAAGTACACTGTATTGACTATGTACTGGTAAAAAAAAAAACAAAATACAAAATTTGCAAAATAGAAACAACAGCAATGCCAGCAGCCACATACATACACACACACACACACACAAATATAATCCAAACGAGGCGGACAGCTCCAAAACAGACACATAATGTCCGTTGTTTTATTTGTTTTCGCGTTTGTTACGGAACTATTCTACAAGCAAATCGAATAAACACCACCAATGCTGATAGCGTTGTCCACACTCAGACATTCAGTAAATGTTCGCGACGTAAAGTATTTGCTTACAAATAAAAATGTTATAGAGTAGAAGGCTAATGGACAACTGACTGACTGGACACCATTGTCGGAACTTTGCGTATATGACCGCTGGCTCATTAGGTCGTAACGTTTGTCTGTGTGGTCAATTGAATCGAAATCAATGGGTTACTTAGGTCTAATCATCCACTGGCAAAAACTATGGGCGCATGATGATGAAGTGGCTTTTATTATATGGTAGTTTATAATTGAATTCCAGTAACTACAGGATAATTAACCTAATTAATGAAGTTTGAGGGGAAGATTCTAACATCGCATTGATTTGTTGTTGGTAGTTGATTTTTGTAATGGTTAGGAGTTTCTAGATATTCCATTCGAAAAACAATGAATCGATTACTCTATTTTGTCTATCTGGAACATTTTTAATCAATCAAATAATTTTTAAGAATATCGTAACCCATAATAATTATTTCCATTAAATTAGCAGAATTAGCCAACTACTCCCTTTCCATTCGACGTACCCCCCTCCCGTCCTTTTCATTATAAAGCAAAATTAAATTAAAATATTGACAAATTTTCAAAATAACTTTTTAATTTCTTTAATTTGAAAACTTGTTCTTTTAACAAGAAAATAATATATTTATGGATTGCTGTATCAGCTCAGCTCCGCCTGCTGCTGGGCCAATGTCGAAGCTGTTGAATGCAGCAAGTATGAGCATGATAGCGATAGTTCTTATTAAAAACTCCACTTGTTCTCTTAAAGAAAATAGCTACAATTTGTTTGTTTCAGTTTCCTCTTTCTTTTATTTGCGTTCGTGGAACAAGTCAGCGAGAGGATTGGGGACTGTTACAAAAATTTATCAGCAAACTTTTTCAATTTCACTTAATATCAATTTGTATGTCACTTGTTGTCGCCGTCATCATCTTTTCATAGTCATCAGTACCAAACGGGATAGCAGGGTATGTGTGTTTGTGTGTGTGTGGCATCTGTGTTACTGTTGCTTTCAACTGTGGCATTATCGTTAGATTGTCATAAAATGTTATTTCTCAGAGTAGTTGTTGTTGCTGCTCATTGGCGGTGTGATTTGGCGGCTTCAGCCCTCCTTTTTAAAAGTTGCCATGCTAACTATGACGGCGATGGCGATGACGACACCCACCATTCATTCATTGAATCGCGGTGTTTACGTTGCGTTCTGCAAAGTAATAATAAAAATTCAATTATACAAAACTTTGCTTTTGTTATTCTTATTTGTTGTCCATTGTTGTTATTTTTTTGTTTAATATAATGAAATTACATCAAATAACATCAACAACAACACCAGCACCAGCAACAATGATAAACAATCACTTTGATTTTCAGGTAAGATGAGAGTGCAGAAAAAGGACATGCCTCGCCCTGTGGCCATGACAAGGGGTAGAACGGTGTTTTTCTAAAGTGAAAATAAAGAGTAAAATAGGAAGTTATGTTACCTTCCATTAAAACTGTGAAATGTATTTCCATTTCTTGTTTCCCTTATTTTTTTGTTATTCATGCAAAGGCAATTTACTGATTTGAAAACTTTGTTGATGCTTCAATTCCATTATGGAGTTTAATTAATAAATGTGGAAAATTGTTTTAACTAATGACAATGGGTGATTAATTTTGTAATACTCTACATTGATATATTGGAAATAGGTATGATCGATTCAAATAATGTTTCATATATACATATATATATATATATATATATATATATATATATTTTTGAATAAGTGCATTTCTAATATTTCTTAAAAAGAATATTTTTATTTAATAACTCAAAACTCTGATATCTACTGAAAATTAAACAAAAGTATTTTGCAAAATCCTAACCTCTGATGTCGTTACGTCTTGATATCGTCAAACAAAATAAAAATTCAAAAATAAAAAAATACAAATTCATAAAAATATAGGTTTCTGGTTGTGGTTTAAAATAAAGAAAAACTAGTTTAAAAGTCGTTACAAACATTCTATGCAGTCCATACTTTTTTTTTTGAAAAATCCTCTACACTGGTAGTACTTTTTGAAGAGACAGTGTTTTAATGTCCCGACCACTGGCGGCCATTTTTTAAAAGAGAACAAAATTAAAAATTCATAAGAAATACAATTTTGCGGACATCAGTCCTCCTTTAAGGATACTTCCAGGTGAACTCAATTACTCAGTTGACACAGTGTTGAAATTGTATTTATGTGTTAATAAATTTCAAGAATTCACAATCATATCGCATTACAAGTATTTGAAAAATATTGGTCATTTATAACTACTACAACAACGGCAACAAATCTATATTGGCTTAATCAATCAGTATAATTGGCCAAATTCGTTGTATTCTATTTCAATTTGAATAGAAAATAAATAAATAAATTTATTACCTTATTACAGCATTCAAATAATGAATGGCTTTGTGTGAATTTCGTTCTATGAGTATTGCATCCATCCTTCTGTTCCTCCTTCCCACCCCTTCGCCTATCCATTGACAATGTAACAAATCAGAAACAAATATTTTAATTGAAAACGAGACCCAGGGATGGGAGAAGCAATAATGATGGGGAGTGAGAAATATAATCAAATGAAATGTATTCATTTTCTTTTTCCTGAATTCAATTTAGCCGAGGCAAATCTTGACTTTCACTTGCCATGGCGCTGTCTTCTTCCACATCTTCAATGGAGA